GATGGGGGGAATCCGAGATGGGTTGCATGGGAATGGGTAGGATAGGACCCCATGGAGCATGCAAAACCAGAGGCATGGTCCATGGGGGTGGAGGGATGGGGGGAATCCGAGATGGGTTGCATGGGAATGGGTAGGATAGGACCCCATGGAGCATGCAAAACCAGAGGCATGGTCCATGGGGGTGGAGGGATGGGGGGAATCCGAGATGGGTTGCATGGGAATGGGTAGGATAGGACCCCATGGAGCATGCAAAACCAGAGGCATGGTCCATGGGGGTGGAGGGATGGGGGGAATCCGAGATGGGTTGCATGGGAATGGGTAGGATAGGACCCCATGGAGCATGCAAGACCAGAGGCATGGTCCATGGGGGTGGAGGGATGGGGGGAATCCGAGATGGGTTGCATGGGAATGGGTAGGATAGGACCCCATGGAGCATGCAAAACCAGAGGCATGGTCCATGGGGGTGAAGGGATGGGGGGAATCCGAGGTGGGTTGCATGGGAATGGGTAGGATAGGACCCCATGGAGCATGCAAAACCAGAGGCATGGTCCATGGGGGTGGAGGGATGGGGGGAATCCGAGATGGGTTGCATGGGAATGGGTAGGATAGGACCCCATGGAGCATGCAAAACCAGAGGCATGGTCCATGGGGGTGGAGGGATGGGGGGAATCCGAGATGGGTTGCATGGGAATGGGTAGGATAGGACCCCATGGAGCATGCAAAACCAGAGGCATGGTCCATGGGGGTGGAGGGATGGGGGGAATCCGAGATGGGTTGCATGGGAATGGGTAGGATAGGACCCCATGGAGCATGCAAGACCAGAGGCATGGTCCATGGGGGTGGAGGGATGGGGGGAATCCGAGATGGGTTGCATGGGAATGGGTAGGATAGGACCCCATGGAGCATGCAAAACCAGAGGCATGGTCCATGGGGGTGGAGGGATGGGGGGAATCCGAGATTGGTTGCATGGGAATGGGTAGGATAGGACCCCATGGAGCATGCAAAACCAGAGGCATGGTCCATGGGGGTGGAGGGATGGGGGGAATCCGAGATGGGTTGCATGGGAATGGGTAGGATAGGACCCCATGGAGCATGCAAAACCAGAGGCATGGTCCATGGGGGTGGAGGGATGGGGGGAATCCGAGATTGGTTGCATGGGAATGGGTAGGATAGGACCCCATGGAGCATGCAAAACCAGAGGCATGGTCCGTGGGGGTGGAGGGATGGGGGGAATCCGAGATGGGTTGCATGGGAATGGGTAGGATAGGACCCCATGGAGCATGCAAAACCAGAGGCATGGTCCATGGGGGTGGAGGGATGGGGGGAATCCGAGATGGGTTGCATGGGAATGGGTAGGATAGGACCCCATGGAGCATGCAAAACCAGAGGCATGGTCCATGGGGGTGGAGGGATGGGGGGAATCCGAGATGGGTTGCATGGGAATGGGTAGGATAGGACCCCATGGAGCATGCAAAACCAGAGGTATGGTCCATGGGGGTGGAGGGATGGGGGGAATCCGAGATGGGTTGCATGGGAATGGGTAGGATAGGACCCCATGGAGCATGCAAAACCAGAGGCATGGTCCATGGGGGTGGAGGGATGGGGGGAATCCGAGATTGGTTGCATGGGAATGGGTAGGATAGGACCCCATGGAGCATGCAAAACCAGAGGCATGGTCCATGGGGGTGGAGGGATGGGGGGAATCCGAGATGGGTTGCATGGGAATGGGTAGGATAGGACCCCATGGAGCATGCAAAACCAGAGGCATGGTCCATGGGGGTGGAGGGATGGGGGGAATCCGAGATGGGTTGCATGGGAATGGGTAGGATAGGACCCCATGGAGCATGCAAAACCAGAGGCATGGTCCATGGGGGTGGAGGGATGGGGGGAATCCGAGATTGGTTGCATGGGAATGGGTAGGATAGGACCCCATGGAGCATGCAAAACCAGAGGCATGGTCCATGGGGGTGGAGGGATGGGGGGAATCCGAGATGGGTTGCATGGGAATGGGTAGGATAGGACCCCATGGAGCATGCAAAACCAGAGGCATGGTCCATGGGGGTGGAGGGATGGGGGGAATCCGAGATGGGTTGCATGGGAATGGGTAGGATAGGACCCCATGGAGCATGCAAAACCAGAGGCATGGTCCATGGGGGTGGAGGGATGGGGGGAATCCGAGATGGGTTGCATGGGAATGGGTAGGATAGGACCCCATGGAGCATGCAAAACCAGAGGCATGGTCCATGGGGGTGGAAGGATGGGGGGAATCCGAGATGGGTTGCATGGGAATGGGTAGGATAGGACCCCATGGAGCATGCAAAACCAGAGGCATGGTCCATGGGGGTGGAGGGATGGGGGGAATCCGAGATGGGTTGCATGGGAATGGGTAGGATAGGACCCCATGGAGCATGCAAAACCAGAGGCATGGTCCATGGGGGTGGAGGGATGGGGGGAATCCGAGATGGGTTGCATGGGAATGGGTAGGATAGGACCCCATGGAGCATGCAAAACCAGAGGCATGGTCCATGGGGGTGGAGGGATGGGGGGAATCCGAGATGGGTTGCATGGGAATGGGTAGGATAGGACCCCATGGAGCATGCAAAACCAGAGGCATGGTCCATGGGGGTGAAGGGATGGGGGGAATCCGAGATGGGTTGCATGGGAATGGGTAGGATAGGACCCCATGGAGCATGCAAAACCAGAGGCATGGTCCATGGGGGTGGAGGGATGGGGGGAATCCGAGATGGGTTGCATGGGAATGGGTAGGATAGGACCCCATGGAGCATGCAAAACCAGAGGCATGGTCCATGGGGGTGCAGGGATGGGGGGAATCCGAGATGGGTTGCATGGGAATGGGTAGGATAGGACCCCATGGAGCATGCAAAACCAGAGGCATGGTCCATGGGGGTGGAGGGATGGGGGGAATCCGAGATGGGTTGCATGGGAATGGGTAGGATAGGACCCCATGGAGCATGCAAAACCAGAGGTATGGTCCATGGGGGTGGAGGGATGGGGGGAATCCGAGATGGGTTGCATGGGAATGGGTAGGATAGGACCCCATGGAGCATGCAAAACCAGAGGCATGGTCCATGGGGGTGGAGGGATGGGGGGAATCCGAGATAAGTTGCATGGGAATGGGTAGGATAGGACCCCATGGAGCATGCAAAACCAGAGGCATGGTCCATGGGGGTGGAGGGATGGGGGGAATCCGAGATGGGTTGCATGGGAATGGGTAGGTTAGGACCCCATGGAGCATGCAAAACCAGAGGCATGGTCCATGGGGGTGGAGGGATGGGGGGAATCCGAGATGGGTTGCATGGGAATGGGTAAGATAGGACCCCATGGAGCATGCAAAACCAGAGGCATGGTCCATGGGGGTGGAGGGATGGGGGGAATCCGAGATGGGTTGCATGGGAATGGGTAGGATAGGACCCCATGGAGCATGCAAAACCAGAGGCATGGTCCATGGGGGTGGAAGGATGGGGGGAATCCGAGATGGGTTGCATGGGAATGGGTAGGATAGGACCCCATGGAGCATGCAAAACCAGAGGCATGGTCCATGGGGGTGGAGGGATGGGGGGAATCCGAGATGGGTTGCATGGGAATGGGTAGGATAGGACCCCATGGAGCATGCAAAACCAGAGGCATGGTCCATGGGGGTGGAGGGATGGGGGGAATCCGAGATGGGTTGCATGGGAATGGGTAGGATAGGACCCCATGGAGCATGCAAAACCAGAGGCATGGTCCATGGGGGTGAAGGGATGGGGGGAATCCGAGATGGGTTGCATGGGAATGGGTAGGATAGGACCCCATGGAGCATGCAAAACCAGAGGCAAGGTCCATGGGGGTGGAGGGATGGGGGGAATCCGAGATGGGTTGCATGGGAATGGGTAGGATAGGACCCCATGGAGCATGCAAAACCAGAGGTATGGTCCATGGGGGTGGAGGGATGGGGGGAATCCGAGATGGGTTGCATGGGAATGGGTAGGATAGGATCCCATGGAGCATGCAAAACCAGAGGCATGGTCCATGGGGGTGGAGGGATGGGGGGAATCCGAGATGGGTTGCATGGGAATGGGTAGGATAGGACCCCATGGAGCATGCAAAACCAGAGGCATGGTCCATGGGGGTGGAGGGATGATTGTCTTGTACTTTCTGCCATCTTACAAGGTTAAGTTTCCATCTTGAAATATTTTTTCTCCCAGCATGCATCTGGTCCATGATTCTGTACATGTTCCATGCTTGTTTCTACAAGAGGTAGGGGTGCTTCAGATTGTGGAGACCTTGTCGAAACTTCAATACTGGTAATCTGCTTTGTGTCATATGAATATCAGGAACAAGCCACTTTGCTCAACAAACCGAGTGCTTCATTGAAATGGGTCGGCAATGGCGATGGAGCTAGTAGATGAATTCAGGCACCACGACTTTGTCGACCCCATGGACTGCCATGTGCTGGTCTATGTACACGTTCTTCAGCGTCACAATGGTGCCATAACTTGCGTCAGGTCTCCCAAACTGCAAGACTTCCACCGCCCAGTAGCGGCGCTTGACCATTCGACTCGTCGGTCCCGCCCAAAGCCCTGTTCCAATCTATTGAGTTGCAGGGCCAATGAAAAGCAGAAGAGGGAACAGGCGGGAACAGAAGGAGAAGAGGTGAGAAAAGAAACGGCCATTTCTGAGAATAGATGCACATGGGGAAGGCAAGAACATGGGACGCAACGCATACTAAGAATGAGCTGTGCTGGTAATCCTTTAGAGTTGAGATTTTCCAGTGGGAGTGAACAACACCGTGGAGATGGTTTGTGCCTAAAACGGCCTCTAAGTGGGTTTCCTGCATAAAAGCTGAGGGAACACAACGGCAAGAATAAAAAAAGCTGCAAAAAAAACCCTCAAGTTATGCACCCTCGGGTTCACCAAGAGGACCGAGTCGCGCATTTCAGCAACAACACCGCGAGTCCAAGAACCTTAATCCCGAAACCCGAAACCCTGAACTTGCTCACAGTTCTGTTGAACGGTATCGCGGCGAGGCCATCGGCCGTGTAATAACCAGCGAGCATGTGGTACGCAAACACCTGCCACATCTTGGTGGGATTCTTGCGGAGGTAGCTCAACTGTTTCACGCGAAGCTTGCCCCACGCGCTGTCCAGTGGCACGAGTAGCATCGTATTCGCTCTGGCCCTCAGGCTTCTGAGAAGCGATTGATTGAATTCTGAGAAAGACACAAGGGAATATTGGAAGTGCGGTATTAGTACTAGGGCCTGACGTTGACAATGCAAAAGGTCCGACCTGATCTCGTGGAATGATTGGCGGCCACCGTGGTCATACACGTGACGCCACGTTTGCACGGTGGAGAGCTCACCACAGTTCCTCATGTACTGGAGCGACGTCCCCATTCCGTTACTTGCAAGTCTGGATTCGATATTCTTAAGCGCGGTGGGGGCGGAGTACTGCGCGTGCGCCGCGACGAGAGCACTAAGAAGCAGTACCGCAAGGAGGAGGAGCGGACCTTGGAGGTTTCGCGCCATTGCTGCCACGAAAGTTGCGATGTGTTCGATTTGTAGTAGCTAGTAACTACCCTAGTAGAGAATCTCAATCGCAGGAAACTGCTACTAACAGACTGAGTAACTTTGGCGAGATCGAACATTATGGAAACTGCCATTTGTACTGATTTTCTCGCGCTGCGGATTCGCCCTTAGTTTGGTGCCAATGGCTCTCCAAACAGGCACAGCAAGACAGGAGCGAATTATGAAATGCGCGTGGCTGGCACTAGAAATTTGACCCCTCCAGGAAACGAAGCCCAGACATGTGGCCCAGCGGATCAAGATTTTCGCCGCTCATAACCGCACTTACATTTGTGAAACAGTAGTGTAACTTTTCTACGAACAACGAGTCATTCACGCATGCCAAAATGGATCTGGAGCGCACATCTCGCCGTACATCGTGCTGCCATGGACTAGGGAAACTGCACTGTCGTCAACCATAAGCAGGGAATGTGAAGAGTAAGGAGGAATGAAGAGTAAGGAGGAACGCTGGCTTCTGGAAACAAAATGTGTCCCAGGTTCACCCTGCCAAAGCGGAGTGAAACTAAAGGAGAGCTTGAAATTCGCGAAACCAGAGGAGAGCTTGAAGGTTGGATGTGGGGACTGAGCTACAGAGGAGGCTGCCGAGGGGAATATATGTTATGATTGCGAGTGGCTAGGAGTATTTGGGTCCAGGCATCTAAGTGGGTGGGATTCGGCATGCTTGTGAGAAACGTTTAGACGGGTGAATTGAGGCCAGGTCAAGCAGTTCAGGGTGGTATTAACCAATACCCAAATTTGCATAGCGGGAAACAGTACCCTCTGATCCAAGACCCATGGAGGAGCCCACCTGGAGCTCATCGTAATTTGTGCCCACCTGAACAGCCCCGCCAATCGCTCACCCTCATTCCGTTTCATCTCACCGTGAGATGCGAGAGAGTACAACAGATACAGTAATCGGAGAAATATTTTATAACGAGAACAAGACTCGTCAGGCCCACCTGCACGCAACAGGGGGACTTGACAAATACTCGACACCTCACAGCTCAACCAGTTCCGCCAGGCCCACAAACCGAGTTTCCCCAACTACGCAGAAGGTAGGCAGACTACATCTTTAATTCTCCATAACAGATGTTATGATTCAAAAAAAGATTCCCATTGAAGCAAATTGCTGCATTCTTTGGCAAGAGCTTGCTGAATGTGTGCATGGACATCATCTTGTGCGAGCTTCTGCGAACAACTATCATGTCAACACTGGCATAGCTGCTGTGCTTTCAAAAAGGATGGCACTAACACTGGATGTTTCTGTGAGAATGTGGCAGACTTGTCAAGGGGTGTTTAGAATTCTGCAAGCGTGTTTTGAGAACATGTATTTATAAAGTACAGCATGTCAGCCATATCTGAACTACAACCCCAACTGTTGTCATAAGCGCTTGGCTCGCCAGTCGAAAATTTCAGCTTCAATATCATCCTCCTCTTCCTCCTCATCCTCCTCCTCATCATCCCCCTCATCTTCATTACCTTCTATTCCATCCTCCTGTCCCTTATGATCCCCATCACCACTCCCAGCCTCCCCTTCCCCATCCTCTTCCCCTCGGTCCACCTCACCTCCTCCCTCTCTTTCCCACACCCCTCCTCCTCCTCTCCCTCCCAAACCATTCATCATAGCACCCTCCCCAGCTCCCCTCTCTCCCTCCTCGCCCTGCTCCCTGGCTTGCCGCTGCCGATACCGCTCAATACGCTCCAGAAGCAGCCTGAGCGCAAGGGTGGGTGGAGGGGGAAGGGGGGAAAGAGGGGTTGGAGAGGGGGGGCAGTTGCAAAGTGACTGATATGTCATATGTGAGCAGGGGAGGTGAAGGTGCTGTTAGGAAGAGGCTGCCAACCCTTGTGCCCATAGAGTGACCCGAGGTGCATGTCATGGCGTCGTCAAGGGTGCGTGACGCAGGTGACATGCGCGTGTGCGTGCATAAGGCGCGTAAGTTCGCCGAAAATATGAAAAAAAGACAGACGGTGTGATTCAAACGGAGTGGTTCGGCTCGACAGTACGGTTTACGGTTTAGGGTTTACCTCCTCTGGACTGTAATGTGGATTTAAACGTAATTCAAAATACTGTTGAAATGTAATGTAACACACGTGGGCATTGCAATTTTCATGTAAGGAATGACGGCTCGGGCGCAGCGGAAACAGGGGTTGGAAATAAACATAACAATGTGTTACATTTTCGCTCAACGCCAGACCCTGTTTAACCCGCCGTCGCAGTGCAATTTATAAGTGCCAATCAGCTCTGACCACTGTGCAGTGGTTCGTAACGGCTGCTACACCGTTTGTAGACCACTTGAGTGGCGGTAATTTCCATCAACAGTCCGTACGTGTGTGACATCACACAGCTCGCACAACAACTGACGACACCCTTCATGGTGATTGATGAAGCCGGTAACCAGCGAAATGTCCGGACGGACTTCAGTTCGTATGAGTGACTTCCGGCTAAATTACGCGCCCTAAGCGTGTGCGGCTGCACCCATGCGTGCTTCCATGCAAATGTGTCTTCATGATTCTCACCGTTGCATGAGTTGGTCCCTTGCCTCGCGCTCGTCTGCTGCCTCCCTCTGATTCATTCCATGGTGGCATGGCATGGCATTGCATGGGCATGGCATGGCATGGCATGGCATTGCATGGGCATGGCATGGCATGGGCATGGCATGGCATGGGCATGGCATGGCAAGGCATGGCATGGGAGGCATAATGACAGTTTATGGTGGCATGGCATGGGTGTACACAATAGGAGGAATGACATTTCTCTCCACAACATGGGGTGACAGAGTACATACCATACGACCAAGAGCAATGAGAGAAAGGCAATGAGCAAGGAGGCAAAGGCACGACACGGAGACGGGTCACAGGGAAGAGCGCAAGCGCGAAGGGATCGCAATACATGGAAGTATCGTGAGGTGTGGAGGAATCATGATGCCTCGGGGCTGGATAAGCAATGGCGCAAAGAGGAGGATGATGAGGTCAACACGGTGACAAGAAGGCAACGTGGTACAACAGACACCACAGAAGGCCTTGCTGTGTACCCTCTCCAGTCATTCTTCTTTTCGTCCCCATTCTCCTCCCACCCCCAGACCCCTCCTCCCCCTCCACCTCACCTCCTCCTCCTCCTGCCGCTCGTCAATGTGCTCCATGTCGCCTCGAATGGACCTCTCAAACGCCCTCAGCTCCTCCCTGCATGCATGCACACAGCAGCACAAAGTGCGAGGAGCACACATTAAAGCACATGCATGCCATGGACAACACACGAGTCTTCCTTGCAGTCCATGCAATATGCAACATGGCCAATGTGCGCAGCTGCTCGCACTCCCTACACGGGCACCACCACTCAACCAGCGAATCATTCAGCTACTTGCACGCCACAAGTCACACTCTGTGACTGCTCAAAGAACACCACCCCTCGTGCCTTGCGATCCGCCTCCTTTCTGTCACGGGACCCCTGTTCTTACACCACCTTGCACAACCCCCTGCACTGCAAACACCTGCCATACAAGCACCTTTCTTTCCCTCACCCAGCACCTTAAAACAGTCACCGTCCCTTCCACAGAGCACGCCACTCACTCGGCGTCTGGTTTCTTATACTCAACGCCCCGCGCCCTGTGGTCCGCCTCCTTGCTGTCAAAGAACCCCTCCGGCAGCACCCCCTGCCCCGCCCCGCCCTCCTTCCCTGCCGCCCCCTTGCCCGTCCCCCCTCCCCCTCTCCCTCCCTTTGCAGCAGCAGGGGGAGGAGCAGCAGCAGGGACAGGGGCTGCAGCAGCAGAGGGTGATGCAGCGGCTGCTGCTGGTGAAGGGCCATCGAAGAAATCAGGAGGAAGGGCAGAGGATGCAGCAGGAGCAGAGGGAACCGAGGGGGCAGCAGCGGCGGGAGGGGCGGCATCAAAGAAGCCCGCTGGCAGGCCAGTGGTGCTGGGAGCAGCAGCGGGGGCCGATGAGGCAGGCGCAGTGGCTCGGGCGGCAGGGGTGGATGCAGATGGTCCAGATGATTGCCTGACAGGCACCGCGGCTGATGGTGGGTGCGCTGCTGCTGGAGGGGAGGCTGGTGGGTTGGCAGGCGCGGAGGCAGCAGCACTGGGGGTGGCGGAGGGTGGGTCTGATGGGAGGGAGAGGCGACCGTTGGGGGAGGGGGGGAGGGTGAAGGATAGGAGAGGAGGGGAGCAAGAGAGGGTCAGGGGAGCAAAAGAAAGGCGGGGAAGCATGAAGACAGAGCAAGGGATAGGCAAGGGTCTCTTCCAACAACAGCATACTGTGTGTACTCTCTGGCCACATGCACCCACCAGCCACACCCATCAGCCACACCCACCAGCCACACCCATCAGCCACACCCATCAGCCACACCCACCAGCCACACCCACCAGCCACACCCATCAGCCACACCCACCAGCCACACCCACCAGCCACACCCACCAGCCACACCCACCAGCCACACCCACCAGCCACACCCACCAGCCGCACCCATCAGCCACACCCACCAGCCACACCCACCAGCCGCACCCATCAGCCACACCCACCAGCCACACCCACCAGCCACACCCAGCAGCCACACCCATCAGCCACACCCACCAGCCACACCCACCAGCCGCACCCATCAGCCACACCCACCAGCCACACCCACCAGCCACACCCACCAGCCACACCCATCAGCCACACCCACCAGCCACACCCACCAGCCGCACCCACCAGCCACACCCACCAGCCACACCCATCAGCCACACCCATCAGCCACACCCATCAGCCACACCCATCAGCCACACCCATCAGCCACACCCAACAGCCACACCCACCAGCCGCACCCATCAGCCACACCCATCAGCCACACCCACCAGCCACACCCACCAGCCACACCCACCAGCCACACCCACCAGCCACACCCACCAGCCACACCCACCAGCCGCACCCACCAGCCACACCCACCAGCCCCACCCACCAGCCGCACCCATCAGCCACACCCATCAGCCACACCCATCAGCCACACCCACCAGCCACACCCACCAGCCACACCCATCAGCCACACCCATCAGCCACACCCACCAGCCACACCCACCAGCCACACCCATCAGCCACACCCACCAGCCACACCCACCAGCCACACCCATCAGCCACACCCACCAGCCACACCCACCAGCCACACCCATCAGCCACACCCATCAGCCACACCCACCAGCCACACCCACCAGCCACACCCACCAGCCACACCCACCAGCCACACCCACCAGCCACACCCACCAGCCGCACCCATCAGCCACACCCACCAGCCACACCCATCAGCCACACCCACCAGCCACACCCATCAGCCACACCCACCAGCCACACCCACCAGCCACACCCATCAGCCACACCCACCAGCCACACCCACCAGCCACACCCACCAGGCACACCCACCAGCCACACCCACCAGCCACACCCACCAGCCGCACCCATCAGCCACACCCACCAGCCACACCCACCAGCCGCACCCATCAGCCACACCCACCAGCCACACCCACCAGCCACACCCAGCAGCCACACCCATCAGCCACACCCACCAGCCACACCCACCAGCCGCACCCATCAGCCACACCCACCAGCCACACCCACCAGCCACACCCACCAGCCACACCCATCAGCCACACCCACCAGCCACACCCACCAGCCGCACCCACCAGCCACACCCACCAGCCACACCCATCAGCCACACCCATCAGCCACACCCATCAGCCACACCCATCAGCCACACCCATCAGCCACACCCAACAGCCACACCCACCAGCCGCACCCATCAGCCACACCCATCAGCCACACCCACCAGCCACACCCACCAGCCACACCCACCAGCCACACCCACCAGCCACACCCACCAGCCACACCCACCAGCCGCACCCACCAGCCACACCCACCAGCCCCACCCACCAGCCGCACCCATCAGCCACACCCATCAGCCACACCCATCAGCCACACCCACCAGCCACACCCACCAGCCACACCCATCAGCCACACCCATCAGCCACACCCACCAGCCACACCCACCAGCCACACCCACCAGCCACACCCACCAGCCACACCCACCAGCCACACCCACCAGCCACACCCATCAGCCACACCCATCAGCCACACCCACCAGCCACACCCACCAGCCACACCCACCAGCCACACCCACCAGCCACACCCACCAGCCACACCCACCCACCCACCGTAGCGAGGCCGTTTAGCCGCCGATGCGGAATCGAAGAAGTCACTCGGGAGGGCCCCAGCAGCAGCAGCAGCAGATGCAGCGGGAGGCCTCGCACCACCTGCTACCGTGGCTGCTGTGGGTCGCTGCGCTGGCGTGGTGGCGGCGGCAGTGGCGGAAGGTGCTGCGGCCTTGGCTCTCTGCTTGAGCCGCTCCGCGCTCTTGATAGGCGACGAGTGGGAGAAGGCACGGCGAGATGGAAGGCGCAAAGGGAGGGGGAAAGGGACGGGGGGAGGGGAGGAGGCAAGGGGAGGGGGTTGCGCAAGGGAGAAGACTGTAATGGTGAAGAGGCGCGAAAGACGGAGAGAGGTGGGGTGGGCGAGAGGCGGCATGTGAGAGATAGACGCACCTCCTTGTGCTGCTTGCTGACAAGATGTGCCGCCCAGAGGCTTTCGGATTTGATCACGGTGGTGCAGACTCGGCACACGGCCTGCCCCAGTTCGTTGTACCTGGTGGCGGGCAAGAGTGAAAATGTTTGAGAGTTACCGTACATGCGATGGCATGGGATGGTGTGGCGTGGTAAGGCATAAGCATAGAATGATTGCCTTGCCTCTCCCTTCTCCCCTGTACCCTCTCCCCTCCCGCTTCCCCCCTCCCGCTTCCCCCCTCCCGCTTCCCCCCTCCCGCTTCTCACGTCCCCCCTCTCACCTCCCCCTTCTCGCCTCTCGCCTCTCGCCTCTCGCCTCTCGCCTCTCGCCTCTCGCCTCTCGCCTCTCGCCTCTCGCCTCTCGCCTCTCGCCTCTCGCCTCGCGCCTCTCGCGCATCATTGCCCCTCGCCATCCCTCACCACCCCCCCGTGCGCAGTGCCGCACCTCACGAGCGGGGAGTCGATGCGCTTCTCCGTCTTCTGCGCCATCTCGCGCATCATCGCGCGCAGCGCGCCCTTGTCGCGCCCCGCCCGCCCCGCCATCTGCGCCGCACAAGGGGGAATTCGTGCTTGGAGCAGCGGCGGTAAGCGGAACCCACAGGAAATGCGGTTGGCAAGGCGCGTGAAAGAGCGATTGAGAGGGGTACTGGTAGGTCGAGCGCGCGAAGAGAAGAGAACACGGGATCCGACCGAAATTACTATTCCTGTTGATTTTAGTGTTTCGTAACACAGGGATACTAGGTCTGCTATGGCGCCGACTCTCCCGTTGAGTTTCCTGTTGAATCTTTTGATTGATTGATTGGGGAATGCGGCTGAACAAGACCGTTGACTAAAGATGGCTTTGAGTGCTGCTCGGTACTTGCTATAACCCCTTTCTTTCAACACTTCTTTAGCCCTTCTACGGATAAAAGGTGAATTACCAAAGTGATACTTTCAATCAGGAGCATTCTACACCTTTTAGCACTCATCAAAGGACGCCAAGGCGTTTCGAACGGTGATAACAGAAAGGTTATTTTTCCACATTATCTGGGGACCCAATAGCTTTGAGCAAGCATGGCACATGCTCTAGCCTCAAATGCATGTATGGCCATGTGCCCACATGCTATGCTTGCTGCTGCTGCTGGCCATGGGATGAAGGAAACAGCTGTGAACACACAGAAGCAAAAACAAAAACAAACGAACAAGTTGAAGACACATGAAAGAGAGAGGAAGACATACATCATCGGCCTTTCTTTGCCCACATTGCTTGTGTCTGGTGATACGTTTTGCAAGAAAGGCGAGTAAGAAAATCTACTCTCAACTCTGTGTCTGATTACCTTGTAAGGAGGCGATGTGTGAGACGAAGAGCAGCACTTGCACGGAGAGGAAGAGCATGCCCCACTCGTACTTCCATATCTGCCATGGGCGTGTGGCATGGACATGTGGCATGGGTGTGTGGCATGGGTGTGTGGCATGGAAACAGAGATGTGAAACATGACATGATGGCATGGGGAGAAAAGCAATTTACGAGTGTAAGAGTGCGTGCACAACAGCAATGCACAGGTGGACGGTGGGAATGCATGGCATGCAGAGCAGCCATCACACAACAAGGAGCGAAGGGAGAATAGGGTTTGAGAGCGAGGGATTGCATGCAGGAAGTGAGGGTGTGAGAGTGGGAGGGCGAGAGGGAGAGAGCGCACCAGAAGTGGGAGTGCAAGGCACTCCGGAGGGCTGGAGAGGAGCAGGCTGTAGAAGACCACTGGGAAGGGCACACTGGGGGGGGGGGGGTGGAGAGGGGAGGGATAAGAGAATCACAGAGAGAGGGTGGAGGAGGATGAAGGTCGGGGAAGCACAAATCCAAGAAAGAGGGAGGAAGTGGATGAAACAAGGGAAAGTGGATAATGGGATGAGGGAAAGCAGCACAGGCGGAGAAGAGAGAGTGGGGCCACAGGCGGGGAAGCATGCAGACAGACATAAATCTCTGTACCTTTGTGGTCTTTTCTGACTGCTGGCTGCTTGAGGTGGCCCAATTGCAGGCAGCCAGCTCAGCAGGTGTCGGGCGGCGGGCAGGGAGAAGAAGACGAGAGCGAGGAAGAGGAGCTTGGAGAGGAGAGACACCGCCACACCCTGTTGCTCCCACGCCCCATGCCATCCCATGCCATGGTGTGCCGTGCAAAGGTGCCAAACACACGACAGAGATGCAAGTGCTCGCATGTGAGAAGAGTAAAACAAGCATTTACAGCTTAGCAACCACTGACTGCCAAACATGCACATACACATATGTTCGTACATCTATGCACATACATAAACGCACATACATAAATGCACATACATAAAAGCACATACATAAACGCACATCCATATACGCACATACATATACACACATACATATACGCACATACATAAACGCACATACATATACGCACATACATATGCGCACATACATATACGCACATACATAAACGCACATACATAAACGCACATACATATGCGCACATACGCATTATGCGCCAAACACAACTGCACAGATGGCTTGAGGCAGCACCTGAGGCAGCACCTGGGGGAGGCAGCAACTGAGGTAGCACCTGGGGGAGGCAGCAACTGAGGTAGCACCTGGGGGAGGCAGCAACTGAGGTAGCACCTGGGGGAGGCAGTACCTGGAGGAGGCAGCACCTGGGGAAGGCAGCACCCGGGGGAGGCAGCACCTGGGGGGGCCAGTACCTGGGGGAGGCAGTACCTGAGGGAGGCAGCACCTGGGGGGGTCTCAGCACCTGAGGGAGGCAGTACCTGGGGGGGTGAGTACCTGGGCGATGATGGGGAGGGAGAGAAGGTCTGCAGGGTCAACTGTGATGCCGTGTGCCGCCCGGAACACCAGTAGCGCTGCCAGGTGATGGGCGGCGGGCGTGAGCGGCAGGGGTGACAGGGTTGGAGGGAGTGGAAGCGAACGGTGAAGGGGGGCAAGCAAGGTGGGTGGAGGGGGACAAGCAAGGTGGGTGGAGGGCGGAGAGGGATGGCTAACAGGTCTTGTGCAAGGGTGGTGATACGGCATGCGCGGAGAGGCATGCGCGGAGAGGCATGCGCGGAGAGGCATGCGCGGAGAGGCATGGGCGGAAGGGGGATGGGAGGAGTGGAAGAGGATGGTGGGCCTATTGCGGATGGTGGGCCTCATGCGGATGGTGGGCCTCATGCGGATGGTGGGCCTCATGCGGATGGTGGGCCTCATGCGGATGGTGGGCCTCATGCGGATGGTGGGCCTCATGCGGATGGTGGGCCTCATGCGGATGGTGGGCCTCATGCGGATGGTGGGCCTCGTGCGGATGGTGGGCCTCATGCGGATGGTGGGCCTCATGCGGAGGTGCTTCAGGGCGGAGCACGGAAGTGGGAAGGGTTGAGACACGGTGGAAAGAGGGAAGGAGTGAGAGGGAAAGGCCGACGTTGAGAGAGTGGCGGAGGAGCTTCAGTGTGGAAGACATGGTGTGTGAGTGAAGCGAATGAATGGCATCATATGAGTATGTGAGCTCGTGCAACGTATTATGCATGCGACTCGGTGGCATGATGGCATGCGAGTGAGTGACTCACTGGCATGGCAGAGCAGAATGAGGGCTGTGGCGAGGCACAGCGGGCGCTGCTGGGGGCACGGCAGGAGCATTCGGGAGGAGTTGGGGCAGGAGGGAATGGTGAGAGAGATGAGAGTCAAATGAGGGAGGAAGAGGAGATGGTTGGCGTGGCGGCACAGGAGAGCTTGACTTGTAGACACACAGGGGGTGGTGGGTGGGGGGACAGAGAGCTCAATGAAGAGCAACCAGCTGCCGAGCTCGTTGCCACGTACACGACTGCAGGGTAGCAGTCCATGAAGATTCGCAACAGGTGCCTTTGCTGAGCTGGCAGCACGAAGCACATGGTGGCAGCAGGTGACGGAAACAGCAGGTGAAGAGACTTCAGAGGGGGTCCTATTGGTGCGGTTCAACAGTCTGAGTGCCGGTGCGCTCTCAGGAAAACAACCAACAGAAACGTAGGCGTCTCAGGGTGCTTCATTCAAAGTCACTTCCTTCATCTAGGGTCCTCTGCATCTAGGGTCCTCTGCATCTAGGGTCCTCTGTTCTGCACACTCACTGCATTGGGGGTGGGTCCGTTTTTTGAAAATTCTCAAAAAACGCATTCAGGCCTTTCGTTTCAAGAGAACCCTCCGTACACTCACTGCATGGGGCGTGGGTGAGGCAAGCACGAGGTTGTGCACCACATGCCGGTGCGCCTGGGGCTTTAAGAGCAGCACGTCCAGTAGCACCAGCTGGAATGGTAGATGGGTGTGGGGGCAGGTGTTGCGCACGGGTGAAAGGGCAGGAGGGGCATGGGTGCGGGAAGCAGGAGCACAGGGGACTGAGGGGGACACAGGAGGCATGGGGGAGATGGGGATGAGGGGGCAGCAGGAGGTGCTTCAGGCAGGAGCGAGGGGAGTGGGGAGTCACATGGGGGGGTGGAGGGCTGAGTCTGAGTCGACTAAAACATGCGCCAGTGGTGCGTGGGGGTGGCACAGCAGGTGGGGAGAGAAGGGCATCGAAAGGGGGTGCGCACCCGGGGATGGGGAGGGGGCCGCACCAGGGGAATGGGAGGTGGAGGGCACCATCGGGAAGGGGCCGCACCAGGGGGGTGGGAGGGGGGGCGCACCATGATCCAGGGGGGGCAGGGCCGCACCAGGGGGAGAGGTGACTTTTGAGTCGACTCAAAACGAGGTGACTTTTGAGTCGACTGAGAAGGCGCACCAGGGGGAGAGGGGGCGCACTAGGGGGAGGGGAGGCGCACCAGTGGGAGGGAGGGGCGCACCAGGGGGAGGGGGGGGGGCACCAAGGGGAGGGGGGGCGCACCAAGGGGAGGGGGGACCCACCAGGGGGTCGCACTCGACGTAGGGGTCGGCTGCAGCTCCACACTCGCCCTGGTGAAGCGCGCAGGGCATGGGGCATCCGGCGTGGGGCGTGGGGCATGGGACATTGGGTATGGGTATTGGCATGAGGCATGAGATATGGGGCATTGGGCGCGGGACAGGGCGTGGGAGAGGGGATTGGAATGAGAGAGTGGCACTCCAGTCACGGAAGTGATGTAAGGGACATGGGGGCATGGCGGCACGAGGGCGTGGAGGGCAGCACTGCACTCACGCATTTGAGCACCTCGATGCTGCCGGGCGAGTGCACGCGGTACAGCTGCTCCCGCCGCGCCCCACACGTCACACACACCACGCGCCCCCTCCCCCCCTCGCCCCCCTTGCCCTCGCTGCCGCCCATGGCACCCCCCTCCCCTTCCCCCCCTCCCCCCTGTGCTGGACCGCTAGCCTGGCGGCTGAGATGCTTGCCTGTCTCGCACCACTCGATTCGCAATCAATGCGGTCAGCTGGGGTGGGATGGAGTGGGATGGGGTGGGATGGGGTGGGGAGAGCTCGGCTGGGATGGGATGGGTTGGGCTGTATGGTGGGGGGGTAGACAGGCAGGGATGCGAGGGAGGGGGAAGTTTCGCTGACGTGCGAGGCTGACTGGGAAGGCGCGGAAGATAGAGAGGGGAGGGAAACGGTTGGAAGATGGGAAGAGGGAAGAGGGGAGAGGGGAGAGAGGGGAGAGAGGGAAAGAGGTCAGTGCACTAGGGTGTGGGAAGGGGAAGGGGGAGTGCACAAATGCGGAGTTTTCCTCTTCGCCCGCGCAACCGGCCTCCCCTCCCTTCATCTATTCTCCTCCCACACTCCACGCTCGCACCACTCTCATGTACTCCTCCTCTCCTCGCCCTTGCTCCTGCTTCGTTTTTCGCCTGCTCTCACCCCTCGCCCCTCTCACACGTCCCTGTCACTCTAAGAACAGACTCTAACGCCTCCCTTCGCCCGTTTGCACGAGAGCAGGGGAAGACTGGGTGGAAGCGACGCGAGAGCGGGGAAGAGGAAGGACGAAAAGGACTGGCGGCCGGGGGAGGGCGGAGAGGGCGAGGGGAGTGGAGGGCGCGGGGTGACGAGGGGCGCGGCGAGCTCCGTGCGCACCTCGCGTGGCGAGAGATGCGGAGCGCGGCGAATACGGCTTGTGGAGTGGCGCGAGCGCGACACGAGGGTCGCGCGAAAGACAGTTTCGTGCCTTGGTGTCTTTCTGTCTGCTTGCCAGGCTCCTCCCCGGCTGTCTCGAGTGAGGGAACAGAAGGGCGACTATCACTGTGTGCTAAGATGAAACTCTCACAAGCGAGTTCGGTTACTGAATTAGGCAGGGGCTTGTGATGGCTGCTGGCTGGCGCAGTCCTGCACAGAAAAGCCGTATCGCTCACGAGCATATTCGATCGGCTAACGAGTACACTCGTGTAACACGAGCTGACCATGTGACATCCCGATTTTGATATAAAGAAAGAAGCCAAAAAGCAAGGAACTCACTCCTAAACAGTTCAGACTTGAAAAAACAAAACCCGCACTCATGGAGAGGACCAGCTTCTGGAACAAGCTTGCATGGGATATGCTTGAGGAACACATCCAGGTGACGTGGTAGTAGTATATACGCAATGGGCTTGTACACAATTCAACTGGAAACAAAAGGCAAGCTTCGAAATTTCCACCAGCGTCACCATCAATCACAACAGAGAAACAACACTCCCACACTAGCGCTTCCTTCCCATGCATCAACCCCATGCATCAACCCCACGGGTCACCCCCACGCATCATCATCATCGCCCCCCAGCATCTGTGCAATCTGCATGGCCAGCCGGGCGGCCGTGTCGCGCCGAACAGCATCAGGCGCGTTCTGCAGGCTGCTGCGCACCGACGCCACCTGCAGAAACAGACGCTCCATGCCGTCCATGTCCGCCCTTGCCTCGTCAGCATCGCCGTGGTCAAATGGGTGCAAGTGCACCCCCTCACGGGTCTCACTATCAGTGCGGTCACTGTCGTGGGTGTCACTCTTGTGGGTGTCACCTGCCACGGCTGCACACTGGGTTTTCTCCTTATTGTTCTCTCCGTTCAAGCCGCACGTGTCATGAGCCGAACCAGAGGCGGCATTTGAACCAGTGGCACCATCCAAACCAGCGGCACCATCCAAACCAGTGACGGCATCCGAACCAGCAGCAGCATCTGAACCAGCAGCAGCATCCGAACCAGCAGCAGCATCCGAACCAGCACCAGCATCCGAACCAGCAGCAGCATCCGAACCAGCAGCAGCATCCGAACCAGCAGCAGCATCCGAACTACCAGCAGCATCCGATCCATGCACAAACGGCCCAAAATCCTCATCCGCCTCGCTCCCCTCCTCTTTCTCCTTCCGTTCCTCGTCCTTCCCGGCAGCCTCACTGGCAACACCAGCAGTTTCACCAGAAACACCAGCACCAGCTGCACTGCCAACCTCACCAGCAGGCACAGACCCATCGCTGGCAGAAGAAGCAGCGCAGGGAGCGGAGGCGAGGGAGGGGCGGGCGGGCGGCGAGTGGGGCAGTGCAGGGTCAGGGGCGTCGTCGAGGCGGTGGTAGGGGAAGTGCGTTGGGTCCAAGGACGCGGGGTCACTGTCACAGTCACTGTCGGTGCTCTCCTCTGATGCCGAGGACGAATGCGGTGAGTCGGGTTGGCCTGTGTGATGGGTGGACATAAACGGAGGTAGGCGGGGGTGTGGGGGTGATGGAAACAGAGCAAGGCCAGAGGCATCGTGAAGGCAGTGAAAGGAGGTGGGGTCGCTGGCAGTGCGACCATCGCTGTCACTGTTAGTGCTGCTGCCTGATGCCGAGGAGCAATGCAGTGAGTCAGGTTGGGCTGTGTGGTGGGCGGCTGTATTGGGAGGTGAGTGGGGGTGCGGGGAGAAGCAGATGAGGGGAGATACAAGACGATAGGGGCGATGCGGGCGTTGCGATGTTATGACATGCAGCAGACGAATGGAGAGCTATGAGCAACAATTGGGTCTGGTGTCTGGTGTGGCAAGATGTGGGTTCAGGTGTGGCGGTCATGATGCAGAAGCAAGAAGGGGGGGGTGCTGAGGGGTTGGAGGCGTGGGGGACAGGAGAGGGAATGAGGGGAGCAGAGCCACGAGTGGAAGCACTTGTGAATGCACGAGTGTGCTTGTGTCCGTGCTGCTCCTCCCAGGGAGGAAGCAGATGAACGCACCTTCATGCGTGTGTGATGCATGGCTGCCCGCCAGCCCCATGAGCTGCGACAGCCCCTGCATGGGAGCACCCCGCGCCCCCCCTGGCGCCTTGAGTGTGAGCCCCGGCCACATGTGCGCGCCCAGGGCCGTGCGGATGCGCTCTATGCCTTGCATCTCTCCGTCCGTGCCCAGGGCTGTGCGTGGATGGGTTGGAGGCGGGTGGGGGGAGTGGACGTGAGGGGTGGGGCACACATGAGGAACACAAGCGCCAGCCGTCTGCCACATGTGAGCGCCCAGGGCCAGGCAGATGCGCTGCAGTCCGAGCATGCACAGTGGGGAATGGTACGCGCTACCATGCATTGGGTGGATGGCACGAGCTTTCAATGCGAGGCCTCGGCCACATGCACATGCAAGGTGGTTGAGGGCGCATGTGCATGCAAGGTGGTTGAGGGCGCATGCACATGCAAGGTGGTTGAGGGCGCATGTGCATGCAAGGTGGTTGAGGGCGCATGACTTTTGAGTCGACTCTTGAGTCGACTTTTGAGATGACTTTTGAGTCGACTCAAAAGTCATCAAGGTGGTTGAGGGCGCATGTGCATGCGCTGCACGGCGTGCATGACACTGTCCGCGCCCAGGGCTGTACGTGGAGGGGTATGGGGAAAGGGAGCCGGCATGAGTGGTGGGGTGTGCTGTGCTGTGAGGCATGAGGGGATGGCTGTGCGGCTCAAGGGATTGGCCTCCAATGGCCACGCGTGCATGCAAGGTGTGACTGGTCTGACACCTTGCACTATGCTCCTGGTCTGACTGGACCTGGCATGACATGACATTGTCGAGAAGTTGAGATACGTAGGAAGCCTAGGTTTAGGAGGGAATCGCTGGAGTAGCGAGAGTGGAGAGAGGGGTTTCGCTATAGGAGAGGGAGAACAATATAGGCAAGAACAGGCAAGGCAAGAAGAAGCAAGGCAAGAAGGTGCATCACCATTACAAGGAGAAACCCTACACTGTGGCTACACGACAGACAGTTTATATATATATATATATATATATATATAGTCTGAAGGACATGACCTGACGTGACATGATATGACATAGGATGGCTGTTGTAAATGGTTCGTACATGGCAAGTGATTGAGATACGGAGCAGCTGCGCATGGAATGTGTGACAGCAATGTGCACATTGCCAAGCCCGCTCACTCACTCCGGATCGCGCACAGCTTCTCACCGGCACCCATTGCACAGCTTCTCACCGGCACGCATTGCACAGCTTCTCACCGGCACCCATTGCACAGCTTCTCACCGGCACCCATTGCACAGCTTCTCACCGGCACCCATTGCACAGCTTCTCACCGGCACCCATTGCACAGCTTCTCACCGGCACCCATTGCACAGCTTCTCACCGGCACCCATTGCACAGCTTCTCACCGGCACCCATTGCACAGCTTCTCACCGGCACCCATTGCACAGCTTCTCACCGGCACCCATTGCACAGCTTCTCACCGGCACCCATTGCACAGCTTCTCACCGGCACCCATTGCACAGCTTCTCACCGGCACCCATTGCACAGCTTCTCACCGGCACCCATTGCACAGCTTCTCACCGGCACCCATTGCACAGCTTCTCACCGGCACCCATTGCACAGCTTCTCACCGGCACCCATTGCCTTGCTGGCTGCACATGCCTCCACGTACCTGATACCATTGCCGGCACATCACTCACTCCAGACCACTCAATCAGGCCCACTCACTCACTCACTCACTCACTCACTCACTCACTCACTCACCCACTCACTCACTCACTCACTCACGCACTCCCTCTCACAAGCATCCATCTCTTGCTGTCAGCACACGCCTCCACATACTCGATGCCATTGTTAAGATCACTCGTTCCGAGTCACATGCGCGCGCAGGCCCACTGACGCCACACAGTCACTCACTCACGCCCACTGACGCCACACACTCACTCACTCAGGCCCACTGACCAGCATCTATTGCTTCGTGGGCAGCACACGCCTCCACGTACTCAATGCCATTGTCACACACCACTCACTCACTCACTCACTCAGGCCCACTCCCCACTCACCAGCGTCAATCTCCTCATGGGCAGCACACGCCTCCACGTACTCGATGCTGTTATCCACACACCACTCCTCGCACTGCCGCCGCCTCACCTCCCCCTCCTCCCCTCCACCTCCCTCTCCTGCCCCCTCGCTGCTCCATTCCCTCTCCACTTCTCCCGCCTCCACAGATTCCCCAGCTTCTGCCTTCTCTCCCTCCCCCTCCCCCGCTTCCTCCCCCTCCCCCCTGCCTGCGCCCAGAAGCATGGCGCCATCAAAGTCACTCTGCTCCTCCCCGTCTCTCCCCCCTCCTCTCTGCCGCCCACGCCTGCTTCTCTCACCCGCACTGCCCCCTCGCCGCACGCGGTCTGCCTTGTTGCCGACGCACAGGCGGATCTCAAAGCGACTCAGGTCCGCCCGCTCTGCCCACCTCTGCACTGCTGTGAATGACGCCGGCTGGCACGGGGGGGGAGGAGGAGCGGGGGACACAGTGGGAGAGTGAGCGTGGTTGGCAGCACAGCACCTGCCCGCATCTGCACTGCTGCGATGCGAATGACAAGGGCTGGCAGGGGAGCCAGGGAGGAGGGGAGGTTGGGAGGGCGGCGGCGGCGGGTGATTGCTAAGAGAAACAGCACAGTGGGAAGGGAGAGTGAGCGTGGTTGGCAACACCTGCCTGCCACCCATCTCTGCACTGCCGTGAACGATGCCAGCTGGCAGGGGAGCGGGGGGAGAGGAGGGTGGGACCGTGGAAGGGTGGGGGGTGAGTTTGAAGGGATATAGTGGGAAGGTGAGCGTGATTGGCTGTACATGCCCGCCTCTGCACTGCTGTGAATGCTGCGGGCTAGCACACAGGAGAGAGGAAGGAGAAGAGGGGGCATGGGGGAAAGAGGGCGGCGCGGGGGGTTGAAGGGAACGAGGAGGGTGGGGGTTGTGGGGAACCGGGGAAGTATGCTGGTCACAAGAAGCATTTGCGTGAGGAAGGCAGAGAGGAAACGGAAGCAGTGGATGGTATAAGGAAGAGAATGGTCTTCACCCCACGACAGCACCACCCCTCTCCCAGCACCACCCCTCTCCCAGCACCACCCCTCTCCCACCACCACCCCCACCCACATCCTTTCCCCCTGCATACACAGTGGAGAGGTCGAAGACGAGCAGCAGTGCCTCAGCTCCCGTCACGAGGGGCGAGGCCTGGGGCAGCAGCAGTGAGCAGTGAGCAGCCTACTGCCTACTGCCAGCCCATTGGAGAGCCTATTTCCAGCTCAACCTACTGAGGCCCCGGGCTCACATTGGAGAGGTCGAAGACGAGCAGCAGCGCCTCAGTTCCTCTCACGAGGGGCGAGGCGGGGCCGGTGGTGCTGCAGGGCAGCACGGAGGAGAGGCGCGCCGTCCACACAGCCACTGCTGCCGTGTAATACTTGGTGTCTACCTGCCAGCTGATAAGGGAGGGAGGAAGGAAGGGAATTCTTGCGGATAAGAGGGGGCGTTGGGGGCGTTGGGGGGATTCCTGAGCCGTGTAGCACTCTGTGTCCACGTGCCAGTTGTGAGGGGGAACGGGAGAGGGGTGGCGGAGGAAGGAGAGGGGCCGGGGGGGTTCGTGAGCACGTGGCATCTGTGATCTGTGACAGGAGGGAAGAGGAATGAGGGATGGGGTTGTTGGCGAAGCTCTTGAGCTGTGAGAGGGATGAGGGAGGGGAGCTGTGAGAGGGATGAGGGAGGGGAGCTGTGAGAGGGAAGAGGGAGGGGAGCTGTGAGAGGGATGAGGGAGGGGAGCTGTGAGAGGGATGAGGGAGGGGAGCTTTGAGAGGGATGAGGGAGGGGAGCTGTGAGAGGGATGAGGGAGGGGAGCTGTGAGAGGGATGAGGGAGGGGAGCTGTGAGAGGGATGAGGGAGGGGAGCTGTGAGAGGGATGAGGGAGGGGAGCTGTGAGAGGGATGAGGGAGGGGAGCTGTGAGAGGGATGAGGGAGGGGAGCTGTGAGAGGGATGAGGGAGGGGAGCTGTGAGAGGGATGAGGGAGGGGAGCTGTGAGAGGGATGAGGGAGGGGAGCTGTGAGAGGGATGAGGGAGGGGAGCTGTGAGAGGGATGAGGGAGGGGAGCTGTGTACTTCCTGGTGTGAACTGCAGTCCAGTCCAGATAGCCTCTGGAAAAGGTCCACACTCCAGCCTTCCATGGATGGCGCTGGCGGAGCGCAGATATGCAGAGTCACGCGGGTGTAGTGTGGCGCACATGGCGTGCAAGCTCAAGAGCACAAGTCGAATGAGCAGCGCCCCCCTCCTCCCTCGTGTCGAATGAGCAGCCGCCCCCTCCTCCCTCGTGCCTCCTCCCTCGTGCCTCCTCCCTCGTGCCTCCTCCCTCGTGCCTCTTTGAAGCTTTGAAGCAAGCGCTCGAACGGCGGCCCACCTCGACTCGGCCCCCTACCGCCCTTGCACCCACCTGAAACACTCTCCTGCAGCCGTGTTGGAGCTTGTGCTGCTGTACTCGTGGGGGTGTGCAGCTGTGAGCCCTGCAGCGCCACCAGTGGAAAGGGGTGAAGGCGGGTGAGAAGGGGGATGAGTGGTCGGGTGGGGGAGATGAAGAGCTATGGGAGAATGAATCGGGAAAAGGAATGAGAAGAAGGAATGGGGAGTGGGAAATGGGGAGACGAACTGGGGAGAGAGAATGGAAATGGGCCACAAGGAATTAGAAAGCCGGTCATGGTGAAGGGCGAACGCAGCAGGGATGGGGAGAGGAGCAGGGAGGGAGGAGCAGGGAGGGAGGAGCAGGGAGGGAGGAGCAGGGAGGGCGGAGCAGGGAGGGCGGAGCAGGGAGGGCGGAGCAGGGAGGGCGAAATGGCTGCAGGGAGAGGGATGATGAGAAAGGGGAGAAGCGGAGGGAGGGGAGGCAGAAGAGAGTGCGGAGGGAAGGCATACGGTGTGCGAGGGTGGTTTTGCCGACAGAGGGAGAGCCCAGAACCAACACGCGGGGACGACTTGCCACGTCATCAGGCACAGGTGGATGATTCGCCACGTCATCGTGGGGTGCCATGGCTGCAGCACGAGAGGAGAGAGGCGAGAGGAAAGAGGGGGAGAGAGGCGTGAACGGAGACATAGAGGGCACGAGGTCAGTGGCGCAGCAAGGCACGTGGCACGTGGTGCGTGGTGCGTGGCAAGGCATCACATCACCCCAGCACGAGGGGTGGTTGCAAGGCATCACATCACCCCAGCACGAGGGGTGGTTGCAAGGCATCACATCACCCCAGCACGAGGGGTGGTTGCAAGGCATCACATCACCCCAGCACGAGGGGTGGTTGCAAGGCATCACATCACCCCAGCACGAGGGGTGGTTGCAAGGCATCACATCACCCCAGCACGAGGGGTGGTTGCAAGGCATCACATCACCCCAGCACGAGGGGTGGTTGCAAGGCATCACATCACCCCAGCACGAGGGGTGGTTGCAAGGCATCACATCACCCCAGCACGAGGGGTGGTTGCAAGGCATCACATCACCCCAGCACGAGGGGTGGTTGCAAGGCATCACATCACCCCAGCACGAGGGGTGGTTGCAAGGCATCACATCACCCCAGCACGAGGGGTGGTTGCAAGGCATCACATCACCCCAGCACGAGGGGTGGTTGCAAGGCATCACATCACCCCAGCACGAGGGGTGGTTGCAAGGCATCACATCACCCCAGCACGAGGGGTGGTTGCAAGGCATCACATCACCCCAGCACGAGGGGTGGTTGCAAGGCATCACATCACCCCAGCACGAGGGGTGGTTGCAAGGCATCACATCACCCCAGCACGAGGGGTGGTTGCAAGGCATCACATCACCCCAGCACGAGGGGTGGTTGCAAGGCATCACATCACCCCAGCACGAGGGGTGGTTGCAAGGCATCACATCACCCCAGCACGAGGGGTGGTTGCAAGGCATCACATCACCCCAGCACGAGGGGTGGTTGCAAGGCATCACATCACCCCAGCACGAGGGGTGGTTGCAAGGCATCACATCACCCCAGCACGAGGGGTGGTTGCAAGGCATCACATCACCCCAGCACGAGGGGTGGTTGCAAGGCATCACATCACCCCAGCACGAGGGGTGGTTGCAAGGCATCACATCACCCCAGCACGAGGGGTGGTTGCAAGGCATCACATCACCCCAGCACGAGGGGTGGTTGCAAGGCATCACATCACCCCAGCACGAGGGGTGGTTGCAAGGCATCACATCACCCCAGCACGAGGGGTGGTTGCAAGGCATCACATCACCCCAGCACGAGGGGTGGTTGCAAGGCATCACATCACCCCAGCACGAGGGGTGGTTGCAAGGCATCACATCACCCCAGCACGAGGGGTGGTTGCAAGGCATCACATCACCCCAGCACGAGGGGTGGTTGCAAGGCATCACATCACCCCAGCACGAGGGGTGGTTGCAAGGCATCACATCACCCCAGCACGAGGGGTGGTTGCAAGGCATCACATCACCCCAGCACGAGGGGTGGTTGCAAGGCATCACATCACCCCAGCATGAGGGGTGGTTGCTGGCAACGAACGTCTTTCCTCATTCTCACTCTCGCCAGCAACCCCCCCCTGGTTTCACCCCTTCCCCTCTCATGCACAACGCTTACTCCCCTCACCCGCCCACCCTCACCCGCCCACCCTCACCCGCCCACCCTCACCCGCCCACCCTCACCCGCCCACCCTCACCCGCCCACCCTCACCCGCCCACCCTCACCCGCCCACCCTCACCCGCCCACCCTCACCCGCCCACCCTCACGCGCCCACCCTCACCCGCCCACCCTCACCCGCCCACCCTCACCCGCCCACCCTCACCCGCCCACCCTCACCCGCCCACCCTCACGCGCCCACCCTCACCCGCCCACCCTCACCCGCCCACCCTCACCCGCCCACCCTCACGCGCCCACCCTCACCCGCCCACCCTCACCCGCCCACCCTCACCCGCCCACCCTCACCCGCCCACCCTCACCCGCCCACCCTCACCCGCCCACCGCTATTCCTCACGAAGAGGGATGAGAAGGAGGGAGGCAGTGAGTGGAGAATAAGGGGCGGGGAGGGAGGCAGGCTGGGGGGACGAAGAGAGGAAGACGGGGGAAGCGAGAGCCAGGGGGATAGCGGGATAGCAGGACAGCGGGGGCGCGGCGACGAGGGTCGCGCGGGGCACGCGCGGCGCGAGCGGAGTGTGGCAGTGCGACTCGCCCTTTGAAGGGGCGGAAGCAGTGGGAAACGGCGCGTGTGCAAGACGGGTGGAATTGCACGAAAGCGCGGGGAAGAGGACGAACGAAAGGGCCTGCGGCTGGAGGGGCGAGGGAGTGGAACGCGGGGGGCCGAGGCGTGAGGGGCGGGGGGCGCACGCTCCGTGCGTACCTGGAGTGGCGAGAGATGCGGAACGCGACGAAGCGGGAAGAGTGGCGCGAGCGAGCAACGAGAGCAGCGCGAAGCACCGTGTGGCGCGCGGCTCTTTCCCAGTGCGCTAGTCTCTGGTTGTACCTAGCGGTCACAAAAGAATCACTCGCATCGCGTATCATCAAAGATGTGCCAGAGCACTGGCACTATTTCGCGAAAGAGGAATCTGTCGAGATTCATAAGTAGTTTTCCAAGCTTAGGAAATGAAGAATCTTAAAGCCCGCGCCAAGAATGGCAAGGCTTCAAAATTACTGAACTTGACAGGTGTTCGGCGAAGGTTGAAGATAGGAGAATACGCAAGAGACAGGTGGCGAAGGCGGAATGCTACACATTGTTTCGCATTGTACTACACACTCAGGCGTCAGGCTGGGTCGCGGGTTACCAGCCGAGCTCCGTGGTCTGGGCGCGATGGTCATGATTAGCAGGAATGGCGGTCGAGGCGAATGTCGTTAGATGGTAACGGGATACTGTTGGGGTGCTGGCAGGAATCAGTGCTCTTACGCGGTATGTGGTGCGACGCGAAGTAAAGGAAAGTTGTTTCCTTACGCTATATAAGAGGAAAATGTACAATTTGTTTCTCAACTGTCATTATAAATAACAATGTTATGAGATTCTTTGTGAAACTATTATATGGCTGTTCTGTGTGCAAATTTAGTCTATGTTGCTTTAAAAGAGAATTAAAACTATATCGAGTCAGGCCCATTCTCTCGATGAGGCCCACACCTCGAATCAAATCACTGGCATTGCCTTTGCTCGCTGCTGGTATGGCGGCACATGCGTCAGCTTCTAGCGCGATTCACTTCGCTAGGCCCCTCTCTTTCCTACAACAGACGTGTCCTCCGAAGCCCAAACCACCAGCCTGCAACCCCTTCCGCTAGTTTCGGGGCGCGCACACGCCATGGTGCACGGGGTCCCCACGCAAGCTTCACAGAAACCGCGGAGTCGGCGTGTGCGGCAGGGCCGAGTGCAAGGGTTGTAGCGCGCACGGCGTGAAAGCTAAACGTTCGGTGGCGAACGCCGTTGGCTCAATACGGCGTGCGCGTGGAACGAGGCGTTTCCGCCGATACAATCGAGGTAAAGTGCGCACGTCATAGCGATCCCGCAGGCGTGCAGTAGATGGTAGGTGGACGTGTGAGGTGGCCGGTAGCTGATAGGTGGGCGGGTGAGGATAGGGAGGGCCTTTGGATGCGCGACAAATCGATGTAGCGCACGGGCAAGCGACTCGAAATAGGCAGGCCACTCGAAACGGGTGCTAGTGACGGGCAGAAGGTTACGTAGGCGTAGGAGAAGGATGGTGGAAGGGCGCGCGGGGCGACGAGCGCAAGGCCGTGTGGGCAGTGCGCCGTTTCCGCCACTGCCACTCCAATAGGGGACCCACCAACCATCGCCTCCTTCCACACCCACCAGCCTCAATGGCCTCCATACAGTGGTTCCCAAAGGGTGCGGGGCCTCTAATGCTAGCAATGCGTCCGTAGCGTGGTTTTATCAAAGCCAGGGTCTCACGTAGATAATGTGTTTTGCAGTTGATGGGAAACCCTCGTTTCCCATTGGTTGACGAATTTGAGGGGTGGTTTGGGGTGAGACGAATTTCGCGCACACCCCACATTTCATCAACAGAAGCAAGCCAACTTTGCGACCGTCGTACACCACGACACATCCGACCAGCTCTTCAATACAGAACAAAAAACACAGAGCACCTAGTCAGATAGCCCTGCCTTGTTCGCCGTACTAATCGACACCCACACGCACCACCTCGACGTTATCCAGAAACATTTCTTAACAGAGGCGGAGACACAATTTTCCAATTAACACAACTACTAACGTGGAGAATGTGCTCCTTGATTTGGTACATTGATTAGGTAAGAATAGGTAGAATGCGTAGAAAAGTCAACATTCTCGCTTCACATGCGGATAATTGCAACATTGATGCCTAAGAGCACGCCAGCGGGCACGTCAGAAAGTTTGTGGTAGTGGGGTGCCCACTTCTTACCTCTGCGTAGCCCCAACCCGATGTGCGTGATTAGGGTATGCGCTCGCCGCGCCACAATTCCCCTTTGTTCCCGCGACGCTTCCATTCCCTGCGCTTCACGCCTCCATTTCTCCCGCCTCCCCTCCTGCTACCATCCCCTCCCCCTCACGCTACGATTCCCTCCCCCGCCACCATTTTCTCCCCCTCACGCTATCATTCCCTCCCCCTCACGCTTCCATTCTCTCCCCCTCGCTCTTCCATTCCCAGACGCTCACGCCTCCATTCCTTCCCCCTCACGCGTCCAGTCCCTCCCCCTCACGCCTCCCCATACCTTCTCCTCACGCTTCAATTCCTTCCCCCTCACGCTTCCATTCCCTCCCCCTCACGCTTCCATTCCCTCCTCTGCACGCTTTCATTTCTCCTGCCTCCTCTCATGCTTCCATTCCATCCCCCTCACGATAACCCTCCCTCCCCTTCCATTCCCTTTTCGATGAAATCATCATTTCTCCCATCCCTTCCAATCCAGAACCCATTTCCTTCCCTTCCCTTCCCTTCCTTTTATATCCCTGCCCTTCCCTTCCCTTCCAGTCCTATCCCTTCCCGTCCCATCCCCTGCTTACCCAGCCATTCCCTTCCCATCTCTCCGTTCCAGTCCCTTCCCTTGCTTCAGGTGCACCTACCTTCACTACGCCTCCTTCTCTTCCTTTCCCTTCCATTGCTTCGGGTCACGCGAGTTCGCCGCGCCACAATCCTCCTTTGTTCCCGCCACGCTTCCATTCCCCGCGCGTCACGCCTCCATTTCTCCCGCCTCCCCTCACGCTTCCATTCCATCCCCCTCACAATAACCCTCCCTCCTCTTCCGTTCCCTTTTCAATGTTTTCATTATTTCTCCCATCCCTTCCAACCCTGAACCCATTTCCTTCCCTTCCCGCTTTTCCCTTCCCTTCCCTTCCATTCCATTCACATCCCTTCCCTTCCCTTCCTTTCCCACCCCCTCCCTTCCCTTCCAGTCCTATCCCTTCCCGTCCCATCCCCTGCTTACCCTGCCATTACCATCCCATCCTCTCCGTTCCAGTCCCTTCCCTTGCTTCGGGTGCCCTTACCTTCACTACGTCTCCTTCCCTTCCTTTCCCTTCCCTTGCTTCGGGTCATGCGAGGTCGCCGCGCCACAATTCCCCTTTGTTCCGACCACGCTTCCAATCCCCGCGTGTCACGCTGTCAGATTTATATGACATAGCTACTGTAGGCTATAGTGGGGTAGCACATATGGGGTACAGTTGTCTAGGGTTTGCCTTTTTGTACCCAACTTTCACTTAGTCATTTCATTCCTGTTTTCTTGTTTCACATGGTATAGAGCGGGTTCCTACATGGGACCGTTCCTTCCTAAGGGCCCACCATAACGAAATTTTTTTAGCTGCCCGACGCGCATTGCGCCCCTGCCCTAATTTTTTTTTTTAGCGCCCCCCCCCCCCCCCCCTAGCGGCCCCTACGCGACCCATACGCGGCCCCCACGCGGCCCTACGCGGCCCCTACCCGGCCCCTACGTCGCCCCTGACGCGGCCCCTACGCGGCCCCTGACGGGGCCCCTACGCGGCCCCTGACGCGGCCCCTGCGCAGCCCCTGACGCGGCCCCTGACGCGGCCCCTGCGCAGCCCCTGACGCGGCCCCTGACGCGGCCCCTACGCGGCCCCTGACGCGGCCCCTGCGCAGCCCCTGACGCGGCCCCTGCCGCGGCCCCTGACGAGGCCCCTGGCGCGGCCCCTGACGCGGCCCCTCCGCCGCCTCTACCGCGGCCCCTACGCCGCCCCTGACGCCGCCCCTGACGCGGCCCCTGCCGCGGCCCCTGACGAGGCCCCTGACGCGGCCCCTGCCGTGGCCCCTACGCCACCCCTGACGCGGCCCCTGACGCGGCCCCTGACGCGGCCCCTTCGCCGCCCCTGTTGCGACCCCTACGCCGCCCCTGTCGCGGCCCCTACGCCGCCCCTGACGCGGCCCTCTACTGCACCTGACGCGGCCCCTAGCGGCCGGCCACTGCCGTCCCTGAGGCAGCAGCCGCCGCCGTCTCTGCAGCAGCAGTCGCACCAACCACACCAGCCGCCGAGCCGTCGAGCCGCCCAGCAGCCGAGCCGCCGAGCCGCCCAGCAACCGACCGCCGAGCCGCCCGGACCGCCGAGTCGCCGAGCCACCCGAGCCGCCCGAGCCGCCGAGTCGTCGAGCCGCTGTTGCCGCTGAGCCGCCCGGGCCACCGAGCTGCCGAGCCGCCGAGCCGCCGAGCCACCCGAGCCGCCCTGTCCGGTAAGAGCAGAGCCTCTGTCACTGCACTGCCCTTGCCCTACTGTTCCTGCTGCTAGTCTACTGCAGTCATGGCTACCCCTAGTGTCCTCGCTTTTGACGCTGAGGGTCGGGCCATTGACTTTGAAGTCTGGGTAGATGACCTGCAGCTTTTCCTACAGTGCGATAGGGCAGACGGTCTCTCCCTCTTTGACCTCACCTCTGGTGCCTCTCCTGCCCCTGCTGCTGATGCCGACGCCACTGTTCGCTCACAGTGGGCCACTCGCGATGCTGCTGCACGTCTTGCTGTGCGTCGCCACCTGCCTACCTCTGACCGTGCGCACTTTAGCCAGTACAAGAGTGCTCAGACCTTGTACGACGCTGTAGTTGCGCGCTACTCCTCCCCTGCCACTGCTGCACTGAGCCGTCTCATGCTACCGTACCTCTTCCCTGACCTTGCTGCCTTTCCCACAGTCGCTGACCTCATTACGCACCTTCGCACTAGTGACACTCGCTACCGCGCTGCGCTTCCTGCTGAGTTCTGCGCCAAGAACACCCCCCCCATGTACGTCACCCTCTACTATATAGTCACCCGGCTCCCTGACTCCCTTCGCGTAGTCAGGGACTACTTCCTCTCAGTCTGCCCCACCACTCTCACCGTTGACCTCCTCGAGAAGTCCCTCCTAGCAGCAGAGAAGAGCATAGTCGCTGTAGGAGCCTCTCGTGGTGACCCTCGCACCCCCGTCTTTGAGGGGTGTTCCCCCTCCCCCCTTTTGCCCTCTGTTGCCTCTGCTGCTGCGGCCGACCTCGTTGGGCTTGAGTCGGTCGGTGCGGCGTCTACCCCTAGCGGGAGACGTCGCCCTGGCAAGGGCAAGGGGGGCAGGGGCACTGGAGGAGCTAGCGGGGGCGGTGGAGGCGGAGGTGGAGGCGGTGGAGGGGGTGGGGGTGGCGGTGGGGGTGGTGGCGGGGGTGGCGGTGTCGGTGGAGGCAGTGGAGGCGGCGGCGGCGGTGGCGGTGGGAGCGGAGGTGGCGGCGGTGGAGGAGGAGGCGGTGGAGGAGGTGGAGCTGGTCGGGGTGGCGCTGCGCAGAGGGTCGGCTCCGGTGGTGGTCAGCGCCAGCAGCAGCAGCAGCAGCAGCAGCAGCGCACTCGTGACATCCCCTCCCCTCAGCAACTCCGTGAGTGGTACGCTGCACGCCAGAGGGGTGGGGGTACTGGTCCGTGCACCTACGTCCTCCGCACCGGCGACCGCGCGGGTGAGCAGTGCGGGGGTGCGCACTCCACCCAGCGCTGCTTTGGCCGCCTCACGGACGCTTGGCGTCACCAGTTCCCTGAGGCCACTGAGATCCCCCGCTGGGGTGAGCTGTCTAGGGCGGGTGTAGCTGTCTTTGACCTTGACTTTGATGCTATTCTTGCTGCCATGTATACTGTGACTATTAGTGATGAGGGTGACTGTTACCGGTGTTTTCCGCCCGACCCGGGCATTGAGACTGCTGCTCTAGGTACTGGTGAGGCTGCTGCTCTAGGTGCTAGCGAGGCTGCTGCTCTAGGTGCGTCTGCTCCCTCAGGTACTGGTGAGGCTGCTCTCTCAGGTTCTGCGTCGGCTTCGGCCTCCCACACCTTCACCCTTGACTCGGGGGCTTCTCGCTCCTTCTTTCGAGACCGCACCACACTCACGCCGCTTGGCCGGCCAGTTGCAGTCTCTCTGGCAGACCCCTCTGGGGGTCCTGTCCTTGCTCACTTCTCCACTGTCCTCCCGTGTCCGGCGGCCCCCTCTGGCACCCTGTCTGGTCTTTACCTTCCCTCGTTCTCTACGAACTTGGTGAGTGGTGCTGACCTACAGGATGCGGGGGTTCACCAGTTCACTCCTGCGAGTCAGCGGGTGACCCACTGCACGGACGCTCGGACAGGCCGACACCTGGCCACGTTTACCCGTCGGCCGGGGTCGAGCCTGTACACCCTGACCACTGAGTCTCCTCCAGTCACTGCGTCTGGTCAGGTAGCTGCGTCGGGTCAGGTGTTTGCTGCAGCGTCCAGGTCTGGTCCTGAGTCTGCCCCCTGTTCGTGTCGCCTCCTGTCTCACGAGACTCTCCTCTGGCACCACCGCCTTGGTCACCCCTCCCTGCTTCGTCTCCGAGGCATGGCCTCCCGTGTCCTTGTCTCTGGTCTTCCCCGGTCCCTCCCACCCCTTCCTCCGGGGCCCGGCCCTACCTGCGTCCCCTGTGTCGAGGGGCGGCAGCGGGCTGCCCCTCATTCCTCCCAGTTTCCTCCGACAGAGGCCCCGCTGCAGACGCTTCACATGGACGTGTGGGGCCCGGCCCGCGTCCGTGGACAGGGTCACGAGCGCTACTTCCTGCTGGTGGTTGACGACTACTCGCGTTACACCACAGTCTTCCCCTTGCGCAGCAAGGGTGATGTCACTGAGGTGTTGATCGACTGGATCCGCGCAGCTCGTCTCCAGCTCAGGCAGAGCTTCGGCTCGGACTTTCCTGTTCAGCGTCTGCACTATGACAGAGGTGGAGAGTTCTCCTCTAGCCTTCTGCGAGCCTACTGTCGTGCACGAGGTATCCGCCAGACCTTCACGCTTCCGGACTCTCCACAGCAAAATGGGATTGCTGAGCGCCGCATTGGCATGGTCATGGACGTCGCCCGTACGTCCATGATGCATGCGGCTGCCCCCCATTTTCTGTGGCCGTTTGCGGTTCGGTACGCGGCGCATCAGATCAACCTTCACCCCAGGGTCTCCATGCCGGAGACCTCTCCAGCCTTGCTGTGGACGGGGAAGGTTGGCGATGCGTCTGCGTTCCGTGCCTGGGGATCTCGGGCGTTTGTCCGCGACTTGTCTGCGGACAAGCTGTCCCCTCGTGCTGCTCCTTGCGTCTTCCTTGGCTTCCCCCCTGACGCGCCAGGGTGGCAGTTCTACCACCCCACCTCTCGCCGTGTTCTGTCCTCCCAGGACGTCACGTTTGACGAGTCGGTCCCCTACTACCGCCTCTTCCCCTACCGCACTCCGTCCCTCCCCCCGCCACCGCTCTTCCTTGTACCAGGTCCCCCCCCGGTAGACCCCCTCCCCCCTCAGGGTCCTGCCCCTTCAGGTGTGTCCCAGGTAGACGCAGTCGAGCCTGTCGAGGTTACTGGTGACTCTGGTGCTGCTGAGGGTGCTGAGCCTGGGGGTGCTGACTCTGGGGGTGCTGAGCGTGTGGGTGCTACGCATGGGGGTGCTGAGCCTGAGGGTGCTACTGCTGGGGGTCCTGAGCCTGGGGGTGCTGAGCTTGGGGGTGCTACGCCTGGGGGTGCTGAGCCTGGGGGTGCCACGCCTGGAGGTGCTGAGCTTGGGGGTGCGGAGCCTGAGGGAGCTGGGCCTGCTCGTGTGGCGTCTGGCGGTGCTGAGCCTGGAGGTTCTCCGGGTGCTTCGTCTCGGCGGGAGCCACTCTCTCCACAGGAGCTGCGCGAGTGGTTTGCCCGGCGCTGGAGGCGTGCTGCTGGAGCTGGAGGTTCTTCGGCTGCTGAGGGTGCTGGTGCCGCGGGTCCCGGAGGTGCTCGTACTGGGAGTACTGGAGCTGCTGGGCCTGCGGGTACGACTGGAGCTGGAGCTTCTGAGGGTGTTGGCGCTGAGGCTACTGCTGTCGGTCCTGGAGGCGGTCCAGCTGGGGGTGCTACTGGTGCTGCTGGAGGTACTGGAGCTGGAGGTGTTGCTGGCGCTGGTGCTGCCGCTGGGGGTGCTGGTGCTGTCCCTGCTGTGTCTGGAGTCGCCGCACGGCCTAGGCCGTACTTCGTTCCGCTCCTTCAGCAGGTTCTTGGTCTCCCGCCTTCTACTGGTCCTCCTCCTCCCTTAGAGTGTCCACAGCCTGTCCCGTCACAGTTACAGTTACAGCCGGCCTCCCCACTGCCCGCTCCTTCTCCCTACACTGGTCCTACTGGAGGTCTTGCTGAGCGTCGTGAGCCTGCGTCTCGCCCTGCGTCGCCTGTCCGTGCTGTTCGCACTAGTGGTCGTGGTTCGCGTCAGCGTCCTCCTCCTGTCCCTGGCACGCACCGGATGTCTCTGCGTCCGTCCACTGCTCCTCTGCGTGCCCCTTTACCTTCTCCTCCTGAGTCCTCTCTTCCTGCTCTTCCTGACCCGGAGTCGGACTCTCTTCGTGCTGCCAGTCCTACTGTCACGCGTCTCCTTGCTACTGTTGTCACTGACCCTTCCTTTGAGTCCACTGCTGCGTCTGCCCTAGTTACAGAGCTCGTCGACTTTGCTGCTCGTTGTCGCCTAGACTACGCTGCTAGTCTTGTTGCTGAGTCTGAGTCTGTCTGTCCTCCGTCCGTCGGGGGTGAGTGTGCCCTTGGCACGGACGTCCTTGAGGACAGGCAGGAGGAGTTCCAGTGTTTGGCTGCTGCTTCACCTCATCTCGTGTCCGTACTGCTTACCCCTGAGGGAGACCCGGATGCACTTGACATCCCGACTCCGCGCTCTTACGCGGAGGCGATAGAGGGTCCCTACTCCTCTCAGTGGCAGGCAGCTATGGACACAGAGATGGCTTCCTGGAAGTCCACAGGCACCTACGTTGACGAGGTTCCCCCGCCTGGGGCGAACATCGTCAGTGGCATGTGGATTTTCAGGGTGAAGCGGCCGCCGGGTTCTCCGCCTGTCTTCAAGGCGCGTTACGTGGCTCGTGGCTTCAGTCAGCGGCAGGGAGTTGACTACTTTCAGACCTTCTCTCCCACCCCGAAGATGACCACTCTTCGGGTACTGCTGCACATAGCTGCTCACCGCGACTACGAGCTGCACTCTCTTGACTTCAGCACTGCTTTCTTGCAGGGCAGCCTGCACGAGGAGATCTGGCTGCGTCGCCCACCTGGCTTCACTGGGTCTTTTCCTCCTAGCACCCAGTGGAGCCTCCGGCGCCCAGTCTACGGTCTCCGCCAGGCACCGCGTGAGTGGCACGACACACTGAGGACTACACTTGCGGCTCTTGGGTTTGCTCCCTCTACTGCCGACCCGTCGCTGTTTCTGCGCACCGACACTTCTTTGCCGCCGTTCTACATCCTCGTGTACGTCGACGACTTGGTCTTCGCCACAGCTGACACTGCTGGACTCGCCCACGTGAAGTCCGAGCTGCAGAAGAGACACACGTGCACAGACCTGGGTGAACTGCGCAGCTACCTTGGCTTGCAGATCACCCGGGACAGAGCACGCCGCACCATTACCCTGACTCAGTCACACATGGTGCAGCAGGTCCTTCAGCGCTTCGGCTTCACGTACTCCTCGCCTCAGGCCACTCCTCTGCCTACTCGCCACTCACTCTCAGCTCTGCCTTCGGATGAGTCCGTAGAGTCGAGTGGCCCGTACCCAGAGCTTGTTGGCTGCCTCATGTACCTGATGACCTGCACACGACCTGACCTTGCATACCCTCTTAGCATTCTTGCACGCTATGTTGCTCCTGGGAGACACAGACCGGAGCACATGGCTGCAGCGAAGAGGGTGTTGCGCTACTTGTGCAGTACGTCGGGCATGGGGCTTGTGCTTGGAGGGCAGAGTCCAGTGGTCCTCACTGGGCACGCAGACGCCTCTTGGGCTGACGACCAGGCTACGCAGCGGTCGTCACAGGGTTACACCTTCAGCCTTGGTTCCGGCTCTGTTTCGTGGCGGGCTACCCGCTCGTCTTCTGTTCTCGGCTCCAGTTGTGAGGCTGAGATCTACGCCGGGGCCATGGCTGCACAGGAGCTTCGCTGGCTCACCTACCTGCTGACTGACCTCGGAGAGCCACCTCGTTCTCCTCCAGTGCTGTACGTAGACAACAAGGCCATGCTGGCCTTGTGTCGAGAGCAGAGACTGGAGCACAGAACGAAGCACATTGCTCTCCGCTACTTCCTTGCTCGTGAGCTACAGCAGCGTGGTCAGCTGCGGCTTGCGTACGTGGCCTCTCAGGCCAACACTGCTGATATCTTCACCAAGGCACTTGCGCCTTGTGATCATCAGCGCTTCTGTACTCAGCTGGGCCTTGTGCCTACCTTGCCTCACTTGCTGACCCCTTGACCTTGTTTGTACTGTTGCATATATATATACACCTGCTCTTGCTTGTCTAGTCTTATATATATATGTAATCCTGCATGTCAACTGGCCTTGTGGCCTTGAACTTGTGCTCGGAATGTGTGGTGACTTTGTGATCCACCCTGAGCTTGCTTTGTTTTGCTTGACTGGTCTTGTGACCCCTTGTTCTCCCCCACTCTGCCTATGGGGGTGTGTCAGATTTATATGACATAGCTACTGTAGGCTATAGTGGGGTAGCACATATGGGGTACAGTTGTCTAGGGTTTGCCTTTTTGTACCCAACTTTCACTTAGTCATTTCATTCCTGTTTTCTTGTTTCACACACGCCTCCATTTCTCCCGCCTCCCCTCACATTACCATTCCCTCCCCCTCACGCTTCCATTCTCTCCCCCTCACGCTTCCATTCCCACACGCTCACGCTTCCATTCGTTCCCCCTCACGCATCCAGTCCATCCCCCTCACGCGTCCAGTCCCTCCCCCTCACGCGTCCAGTCCCTCCCCTCACGCGTCCGGTTCCTCCCCCTCACGCGTCCCGTCCCTCCCCCTCGCGCGTCCCGTCCCTCCCCCTCGCGCGCCCAGTCCCTCCCCCTCGCGCGCCCAGTCCCTCCCCCTCGCGCGCCCAGTCCCTCCCCCTCGCGCGCCCAGTCCCTCCCCCTCGCGCGCCCAGTCCCTCCCCCTCGCGCGCCCAGTCCCTCCCCCTCGCGCGCCCAGTCCCTCCCCCTCGCGCGCCCAGTCCCTCCCCCTCGCGCGCCCAGTCTCTCCCCCCCGCGCGCCCAGTCCCTCCCCCTCGCGCGTCCAGTCCCTCCCCCTCGCGCGTCTAGTCCCTCCTCTTCGCACGTCCAGTCCCTCCCCCTCGCGCGTCCAGTCCCTCCCCCTCGCGTGTCCAGACCCTCCCCCTCGCGCGTCCAGTCCCTCCCCCTCGCGCGTCCAGTCCTTCCCCCTCACGCCTCCCCATTCCTTCCCCCTCACGCTTCAATTCCTTCCCCCTCACGCTACCATTCCCTCCCCCTCACGCTTCCATTCTCTCCCCCTCACGCCTCCATTCCCACACGCTCACGCTTCCATTCGTTCCCCCTCACGCATCCAGTCCATCCCCCTCACGCGTCCAGTCCCTCCCCCTCACGCGTCCAGTCCCTCCCCTCACGCGTCCGGTCCCTCCCCCTCACGCGTCCCGTCCCTCCCCCTCGCGCGTCTCGTCCTTCCCCCTCGCGCGCCCAGTCCCTCCCCCTCGCGCGCCCAGTCCCTCGCCCAGTTCCTCCCCCTCGCGCGCCCAGTCCCTCCCCATCGCGCGCCCAGTCCCTCCCCCTCGCGCGCCCAGTCCCTCCCCCTCACGCCTCCCCATTCCTTCCCCCTCACGCTTCAATTCCTTCCCCCTCACGCTTCCATTCCCTCCCCCTCACGCTTCCACACTGTACCTCTTTCGCTTCCATTCCCTCCCCCTCACACTTCCATTCCCTCCTCTGCACGCTTTCCTTCTCGCTTGCATTCCCTCCCATGCACGCTCCCATTTCCCGCCCCCTCCCCCCCCCCCCCTCTCTCACTCTCCCATTCCCTCCCTTTCACACTTCCGTTCTCTCCCCCTCAAGCTTCCATTCTCTCGCAAACACGCTTCTAATTCCCTCTCCCTCACGCTTCCAATCACTCCCCCGCTCGTTTCCATTCCCTCCCCCGCACACTTCCGTTCCCTCCTCCGCTCGTACATATTCCCTTTCCCGCCCGCTTCCATGCTCTCTCCTTCACACCTTTCACTCCCCCTCATGCTTGCATCCCTTCCCTTCCTTCCTCTCCCTTCCGTCCCTTCCCTACCCATCCCTTCACCTTCCTTCAGTTTACCACCCTCTCTTTCCTCTCCCCTAGTTTTCCCTACCTCCCCTTCCAATCCCCTATCAATGATTTCCTCCACTCCCATCCCTTCCTTCCCTACCATTTCCTTTCCTTCCCGCTTTTCCCTTCCCTTCCCTTCCCTCCCCTTCCTATCCCTTCCCTTCCCTTCCTTTCCCATCCCTTCCCATACCTTCCCTACCTATCTACACCCCTTCCTATCCCTTCCCGTCCCATCCCCTGCTTCCCAAAGGACAATCCCTTCCCATCGTCTCCGTTCCAGTCCCTCCCCTTGCTTCAGGTGCCCTTTCCTTCCCTTCGTCTCCTTCCTTTCCTTTCCCTTCCCAATCCCACACACTTCCGTTCTTTCCCCTGCTCGATGCCATTCCCTCCCCTGCTCGCTTCCATTCTCTTTCCAACTCGCTTCCATGCCCTCTCCTCACGCTCCCATTCCACCCCCCTTACGGTTGCATCCCTTCCCCTCATCCTTGCATCCCTTCCCCTCACTCTTGCATCCCTTCTCAACCTTGCATCCCTTCCTTCACTTCACTCTTGCATCCCTTCTTCTTTCTTCAGTTTACCACCCTCTCTTTCCTCTCCCCTAGTTTCCCTTACTTCTTCCCTTCCGTTCTCCTGCTTTTGCATCTGCCTCTCGTTTCCTGACCCTTGCGCATCCGTTCACTTCCCATCTAGCTCCTGTACCGGTCTTATATCGCACCCATCCCCTTCCAATCACGCATCCACTTCTTTCTAGTCCCCCTTCCATTCCTCTCCCTCCCACAATGTACATCATTCCCGTTATGTCGCCATCCCCTTCCCCTCACGCTTCCATTCTCACGCACTAACGCTTCTATTCTCTTCCCCCGCACACCCCCTGCCCTTTTGTGCTTCCGGGTCCCTAGTGCTGATCGGATCAGTGATGGTAACGTCGCAGATGTAAACCACCCCACTGCTTCTATTGGTCATGTTGAAGTCGGCCGTTTGCTCCTTGATAGGGCAGTAGGCAGCCGACTCCCTGTGTACTATAAACCCTGCGTCTTGCGCCATGCTAACGCAGGCGTCCCGCAGCTCGTTGTGCGTGTTCGTGCGGTGCTTGCCTGTGCCGCAGCGGAGCAGGTGGTTCGGGAGACGTGGGTCAGTGATAGCCATGTGGTCCGCACAGTCACAGTTCTTGGGAGTGGAGAACGGTAGGCCAAGGCGGAAGCGTACAGCATTGGCAAAGTGCACTGGCCCTATCCGCCTTGCGGGAGCGGTGGGAATCACGGTGAGCCAATCGCCAGTGCCGTAGCCAGTCAGTGAAAACATCCGCTGCGTGTGACCTGCAAGCGGATTCGGCTTCATGCGCCTCGTCGCCTGGACCTGCTTTGCGTATCTGCTTCCGTGGACCTTGAGTCCTAGCACATGCTGGAGCCGGATGTCAGATCGTTCGAGCCGCTCCTTCTCCAGTATCTCCCGCGCATCTAACGGCAGCGCCTCCTCGCACTCAGTCAGCCAGGTGTGTAGCGGAGTGCTGTCAACCCGCGGCAGCGGCATATGGTTCCGTGCTAGCGTGAGAGCGTTATCCTGTTCTAGCGATAGACAGCTGAGATAGAGCGCCGCCTGTGTAAAGCTCGCTGTGAAGCCGTAAATTCCCTCAACTAGGGGGTCTATGATGCCCAGGCCTCCTAACGATGGCGGCAGCGACGCTTGTTCCCAAACCCGTGATTGTTCGGTTCGACAAGTCGGAACGCGGATATCGCACAATGTGAGGAGCGTGGTGAGCAGATCCCTACCCCACTGGCTCCATGTATCACGGGGAAGGAGATGTAGTGGTGTCGTCCGAGTGAGGTATGCAACTCGTCGCGAGATGCATCGTGTGAGTAGCAGTGCTGCTACCTGGGGGTCTGCTCGTTCGAGTAGGGGCAGGGGCTTTGACATCTCGGCGAGTTTTCCCGCTAGGAACTGAGCTGCGCCGCTTTCCGGCCCTACGAAGCTACCAAGTAGCCGCACGCCGTCTTTAGAGAACGGCACTCCTGGCGGAAGGCAAGCTGTGTCGATTGCGCTTGAGTTCCAGGCCGCACACTTCTATGGGTTATGCTCAAGGCCCAGGTGCGCCAACTTGGCCGTAAAGTGTGTGAATGCAGCTACAGTGCGGGCTGTGTCACCCAGGAAGGTGACATCGTCCGCATACGCCAAGCACAACACGTCCGGGTGTGCTTCGGCTGTTTCACGAAGTGTGGCGTGTACCCCTGCTGCAAACAGTAGCGGCCCAAGTGGGCCTCCTTGGCGCACGCCCCGTTCACTTGTTAGTGGTTCGTTGTTGAAATTGGAGTCCAGTAGCAGTTGCGACGGGTTACCGTATGTCAGTTTCACGAGCGGCACCAGTGGCGAGAGGGATGGTTCGTGTAACGCGTTGGCGATGGCGGTTCGCGAAATGCTGTTGAACGCATTTGAAATGTCGGCTTGCAGGACCAGGCTGTCCGGGCGGGCATCCGAGAAAGCCCTGGCTGCATTGATTACTGCCTCTGCTCCACCTAGTACTGCCACACCGTACTGTAGCGGAAGAAAATACTCGCGGACCGGTTCTCCCATGAGTAACAGGGCAGCCTTAGCTGCCAGCCTCGTCAGGCATTCGCCGATGGCGATTGGCCTAGCCCCTCCCCCCGACTTGGTGAGGGCTATGAGTCGCGACGCCGTCAGCAGGTTTGCAACCGAGCCTGGAAATTTTCCTCTCAGCATAGTGTTGACCAAGGCGTGCATATGGGTGCTGACCGTTACGTTGGTGATTGCCGCATCGCACAGGTGCTCGAATGTCATCCCTGACGGTCCGGCTCCGACCCCATTCTCACATTTTCCCAACATTTTTGCGAAGTCAGGGTGGGAGATTGACAGCTTTGACCCTTGCGGCTCAGGCCACGTCACTGCCTCGTCTGCAGCAGGTGGGTGCTTTTGGCGCAGCTCCTCCAATATTTTCGGGCTCGGTGTGCAGACGGGTGTTGACTCCAGGGCTAGCACGGCTCGGCGCAGACTGCCACGTTTCGCTAGGCTTTCCGCACGGCTGATGACACCAGTCGCATCCGGCCGATGTCGTGGCGGGGGCGGTGTGTTGACTGCGTTCAACGAGTCCTGGTACAACTGATCCCATTCGCCACGCTGGAAAGCTCGGAGCCGTCCCTTGACGCTTGGCCAGTTTGGTCGTTGTGCCGAGGTCTGGCGAAGTGTCAGGCATGGGAGAAACAGCAGCAGGCGCCATCCCGTTTCCGAATCTGGGTTTCGTGATAGGTGGTGTAACGGTGTTAGTAGCGCAAGCGAAAAAAGCTGACATAGGTTTGGCGGTAAACGCCGCGACAGTGGAGGCTGACGACTGTCGCATAGCGCTGCAATGTCCCAATTCGCGATGGCTGCGAACAGATCTGTCCGCTTCGCCAGCTCGTCTGGTGAAAAGTAGCGGGGAATTGATGCTGATGGCAGCGTTGCGGTACCGGCATCGGCGGTTCGATTTCTCCCAGTGCGGCTCGACCTCGTTGGTGGGCTTGAGGTTGGATTTGCACTCGTCCGATCGGCATCGGACGGTGGTTGAGCCATCTGTGGCACTTGCAAGGTTGCCTGCCCCACTACCGCTTCCCTTCTCCTTGGTCCTTCCCTCGCCATGCCTTCCTCCTCCGTCTCCTCGTCCTCGCTCTCGGGAAGTGCTTCTTCCCTATAAGATGGGTCGTGTAGCTCGTCTTCGTCATTAGTTGCCTCCACGTTATTTACAGCCGATTGTGCCGCCGCCTGATACCCGTTCTCAGGTCCTCCGCCTGTTCCGCTTACAGTATGTCTCCCCGCCCTGCGGCTTCCCTGCTCCAGGGATGGTGATTGCCGGTGCACCTGAGCCGTCGCCAGAGCTCGTTGCCGCCTGGTCGGCTGCGGCCGCCAAGCCTCCGGCGGAGCAAGAAAGGGCGACCATGGCGACGAAGCCGCCTCTACCGCCGGCTCTGAAACCCGTGACAACAGTCTTTGAAAAGACTCCTCCCCACGCACCCGCGGATCCCCTTGCCGGGTCAGTGGCTGGCCCGTCTGCTCCTGCTGCTGTTCCGTCTGCTCCGCCTGCGGCCCCTGGCCCCCTGGCTCCCCTTGTCGAGCCGTTGGCGTCTGCCCCTGCTGGGGGTGTTGCTGATCCCCCCGCACCTGTCCCTGGCGCCCCTGTTGAACCGCCCGCTTCTGTCCTCGGCGTGCCTGCTCCGGCCTCTACTTCGTCACCGAAGGCGGCGTCCGCCACCACTGGCGTGCCGGCTCCATTGGTTGCGCCCTCGGCGGCGGGTCAGTCTGCACCTGCTGTGACGCCGATGGCCCCGGCAGGGCAGCCATCACGCCCTCCGTCACCCGAGCGTCGCTCGTCGCGCCCCCATTCCCCCGCGCCCCACCAGGAGCGCAAGTCGTCTCGTCGCCGGCGTGAGTCTCCAAGGCGATACCAGCAACAGCCGCACTGGCCTGCTCACCTCGGAGGTCAGGGGGATTGGAGGGGTCCCCGTGCTCGCGGCGGGGGTGGGGAGTACCGCCCGCCCGTAACGATGGCGGATCTTCAGCGGGAAGTGTCGAGGGCGGTTCGTGAGGAGAGGGCGGCGTAAAGCCAGAGCAGTTCGATGCGCGCTCCGCCGGCCCACGAGGCTCCTCGTTCGGCTGTGCTCCCCGCGAGTCCGCAGCCTGTCGCTGCGCCTCCACCTCAGATCCATGTCTCGCCGGCTCCTTCTCCCGCTGTCTCGGCACCTGCTCCCGTCTCTCGTCTCCATCTGCCACCGGTTCCTCCCGTTGCGGGAGTGGAGTTTGTGGCCGCGGGTGGTGGCGCGGCGGCGGCTCCGAATGCGCTTCAAGTTGCCGCCGATAAGCCGCTCCAGTTCCTGGCGGAGGCACTCCAGCCTCCGCAGACCCGTGTTCCCGAGGCGACTCTCGGACAGCTCCACCGCCTCGCTGACAGTCTCCACGCGCTGCTGCTGATTCAGGTGCTGGTCCACTCGTCTCTCCATGTGATCCCTCCTGAGACCTTCCGTGGCCGCCAGCGTGACACTTGCCTGGACACGGCGGACCAGTTCGCAGTGCTGCTGGCGCCCGTGCTGGCTGCGCCCGCGGAGGGTGGCGCTGTTGCTGCGGGACAGCTTGACGAGGCTGTCCGGGGCTTGAGGCGGCACTTGCGCGCAGGATCTGGAGCCGCGGCGATCGGCGCAAGCACGCTTGTCTGCTTTTCGCTTACTCCCCTCAACAAGAATGCACTTAATCTCCCCAGCAAGTGGCATCGCTGACGTTGTTCGTACTGCACCACGACGTCGTCTCACACCTAGGTGTGTAGCAAGGATCGATGAATGCCCTTGTGTAAGCTCATCTTTCTGTGTTCAATGCTGGCCACTGTGTCCGCGTCAATCTTGTTGTTGCCTGTCAGTGAACGCCTATGGCAAAAGCGATCCCGGGGGGAATTGGGCCCGGTCAGTTTGTTATGTGAAGATGCTGATGAGGGAAGTAACAGGGGGAAACACGGAAAGGGCCACGTCGCAAGCCCTAAGGACCCAGCTGTCCAGTCTATTCCATGCCCAAGGGCTGCGCAACGAGAGAGGCGCACGTACCAACCCACGAGAAAACTGCCCATTCGGCACATTCCAACGTTTTGCTGGACAATGTTTCATTTTTCCACTGCATTTTGCAAGCAATATGAGGTTCTGGAACAGTGGGGTGCAAACATCTTAGAGTTACCATATGATAGTCAGGAACAGCTCAGCAAGAGAGGCCAGACGGTTGAGAATATCATTAGGATTTGCAGTGGGGGCAACATTTCTGAATCATGTGAAGGGGAGGCCATTCTTCCCAAACACCACAGATCTAGGTGTTACCTAAATTATTCGGAACTACTAGGTGACCATCTATTCGATCAGGTTCGGTTGCCATGGATTTTATATGTGACGGTATGGTCACTATATCCTGACACGAGTGGAGAAGGGTATCTGAAGTGTTGCGCAGAAGATGTCGCGTGGTTCAGCGCTTCATGGGAGGTTCCGCACGAGATAGAATTCGCAGAGACTTTTGCAAGTATTGCATTGGTGCCACAGTAGCTAACACTTCGTGACCATGTGATTAGGATTGAGCGGACGGTTGGGAAGGGTGGGTAGATACAAGTCATGCACGTTGGTGGATACAACAGTAGCAACTATTTCTAGTTCTGTACGACGTCATGTTCTATTGTACATGGTAACCGGTAAGGCTTAGTAATAATCGTTTGTGCGCATTTTGTGAAGATAAGCAGTAGAAGAAGGCGCCATAGCTAGGAAAGCCCTAGCTAGGCAAGAAACAGTTTAGGCAAAGAGGGGGTTCACTAGCAGGAATGAGGATACAAATAGCAAACCTTAGAAGGGTTGTACTCGCTATAGAGCACCCCACTACAGGCTAGAGCATAACATTCTGACACACCCCCATAGCCAAAGTGGGGTGTAATCAGCAGAGCAAGCAAAGCAGAACAAGCTCAGGGTGGATCACAATGTCACCACACATTCTGAGCACAAGTACAAGAAGCAATAGTTTAAAGTTCACAATTATGAGCAAAGCTAGAGGCTATCGCAGAGGGCAAGTGAGGAGGAGGAGGCGAGACTGTAAGAGGAGAGGAGATAGGAGGCGACGACTGAAGCTGCAGACACACGGGCAACAGGAGGCACACTGGCACAGCGGCTACCGGAACAGCGCTCCGGACTACTGGAGTAACTGGCCCCGCGGCTAAAAGTAGCGGCAGACGAGCAACGGACCCACGGGCGACTGGCACAGGTGGCTGCGACTGGGCTACCGGAGCAACTCCCCGGACTACAGGTGCTGCTGGCGACACGACGGCGACCTTCGTTCAACCTCCCCAAACAGTCCCGCCCCCCCTGACACACACCCCCTGCTTCACCCCTAGCTCCACTCCCCCTTCACCCCCCTTAGTACCTCTCCGACGGCTCCAACAGGTCCACCCCCCTCAGCGGCAGCTGCAGCACTGGGAGACGGAGGAGGAGGAGGAGCAGGGGACGGCACACAGAAGCTGCACCCCCATGCCCCCCACCCCCAAACCCTAATTCAGGAGAACGGGCAGTAGCAGGGGTGGGGCGCCATCAGAAGCACGGGGGACAGCGGGCAGCGCAGGGGCAGCGAAGAACGGGCCGCCCACGGGCCTGGCACAGCCGCCCGAACCGCGCGCAGGCGGCCCGAGCCGCGCGCGGGCCTGGCGCAGCCCGTACGGGCCGCGCGCGGGCCTGGCGCAGCCCGTAGGGGCCGCGCGCAGGCCTGGCGCAGCCCGTATGGGCCGCGCGCGGGCCTGGCGCAGCCCGTACTGGCCGCGCGCGGGCCTGGCGCAGCCCGTACGGGCCGCGCGCAGGCTGTACGGGCCGCGCACAGGCCACGACGGGTGACGGGGGGCGACGCGCGGGTCCCCGTCGCCCGTCGCAGCGCCTCCCGGGAGCGACGCGCTGCGTGACGGGGCAGAAACCCACCGCGCGCCTCGGGGCGCACGGCGGGCAGAGAACCGCCGCGCGCCTCGGGGCGCACGGCGGGCAGAAAAACCGCCGCGCGCCTCGGGGCGCACGGCGGGCAGAAAACCGCCGCACGCTCCGAGCGCGCGGCGGGATGAAAAATCCGTCGCACGCCACGGGGCGTGCGACACAGAGAGTAGCAGTAGCAGCGGAAGCAGTGAGGTGGTGAGCCCACCCACAGGATCGACCCAAGGGGATCGACCTGCTCTGATAGCATGTGAAGATAAGCAGTAGAAGAAGGCGCCATAGCTAGGAAAGCCCTAGCTAGGCAAGAAACAGTTTAGGCAAAGAGGGGGTTCACTAGCAGGAATGAGGATACAAATAGCAAACCCTAGAAGGGTTGTACTCGCTATAGAGCACCCCACTACAGGCTAGAGCATAACATTCTGACACATTTCGTGTCGAAAATAGGCATGAAGGTGCACTTGGATACAGGGCATGCGAATATGTATAGACGGTGCTATGGTCCCACACAAATTTCCACAACTATGTGTTTAAATTTTGTATTTTGGCAATAAATCAATAAAAGGGTCACCGTTATGGTTTTGCAACATACGTTTGTATGCGTTTCGTGCCAAACATTGGCATGAATGTGCATTAGAGTACGGGCCTTGTGAATATGGAAAGACCATGTTATAGTCCCGTTCAAATTTTCGCAATTATGGGTATCTAATTTGTATTTATGGCAATAAATCAATTAGAACGATCACCACTAAGGTTTTGCAACATACGTTTGTGCGCTGTTCATGCCGAAAATCTGCATGAAGGTGCATTAGAGAACGGGGCTTATGAATATGCAAAGACATTGCTAAAGTCCCATACAAATTTCCACAACTGTAGGTTTTTTAATAGGTATTCTTGGCAATGAATCAATAAAAATGGTCCGTTAAGGTTTTGTTACATTCGTTTGTGCGCGTTTCGTGGCGAAAATCAGCACGAAGGTGCATTAGAGTACGGGCCTTGTAAATATCCATAAACATTGCTATGGTCCCATACAAATTTGGGCAACAATGGGTTTTTATTGGTATTTTTGACACTAAATCGATTATAATGGGGACCATTTTAACGGTGACCAAAACAGAATCACTTGGGGCATAGGATGGACCCTTGTTGCACCTACAGTGTGGATAGGGAATGGAAATAGTCGGGAGTAGGAAGGGAGGGTGAAACAGGATCATGGCCAAGGATAAGTATAAAGAGTGGAGATGAAATTATGATGGAGAACAATATGGTGGGTGAGGGGCAGAGAATGGACTCCAGGTCCACCTGCTCGCCGCAGAGAGGGGTATTGTGAGGGGGCAAAGAGGATGTTGAAGGATTACAAGTGGACCCTCTTAGTCTTCTCCTTGTCATTTAACCCTCTCCCTTGGTCCCTCTCTGTTTTCCTCTTGCATTTCTCCCCTTCTCCCACAGTTCCTCTTTGCCTTTCCCTTGTCTCCCTCGGTCCCTCTTTGTCTTCAATCTGCACCTCAACCCTCTCGCTCTGCTCCTCTTTGTCTACCCGCTGTCACTCAACCCTCTCATAGTTTTTTCCCTGCATTTCTTCACTTCTCCCATAGTCTCTCTTTGCCTTCCCCCTCTCCCTCGGTCCCTCTTTGTCTTCCCTTTGCACCTCAACCCTCTCCCTTTGTCCCTATTTGTCTCCCCCCTGTCACTCAACCCTCTCCCTTGGTCCCTCTCTGTTTGCCCCCTGCATTTCTCTCCTACTACTGTACATCTTTCCCTTCCCACTTTCTCTCCGTGAGTCCCTCTTTGTCTTCCCACTACACCTCAACCCTCTCATTCGGTCCATTTGTCTTCCCCCTTCACCGACTTTAGTGACAACATGATAGTCGATAGACACACGGACCTCAGTACATGCATGCTCAAACTGAAACATACGGAAGTTGAGCTAGACACCAAAAAGAAGGCCGTTTCACACATAAAAGTTCCGTCTATCGGGCAATATGTGGCAAACAATCCAGAAACATGCAGAATGAGGGTGGGCATGACACAAGCGACGCGGAGCATGAAACGTCTGGTAGTGAGGTGAGACCCGTTGTAGATGTCAAGGACGGGGTCATATCCTACCAAACGTCGTGCTTTCATCTTCTTGGTGTGATGAGATGCGCCTACGTTGTGCTAGTAGTCTTGTAGGCTAACGGCATGGGTGGAAAAAACAATGGGAGTCGGCAAATTTAAGGGGAGGGTGGGGATGGTGTTTGTTGTGTACCTTAGGCCAAACACCCATGCAGCGTCACATGTTCTATATCAACTAAAAACGCATGCAACCACACGCATATCATGTTACAAACCAGAATTGCCATCCAACTTTCCCCCCACCGGCTCATCTTTCTTCCCCTCCAGCGGCCCCCATTCCCCTCCCCATCTCAATATTGCCACATCACTCACAACACAGTTATCTATCGTGGGCGTTTGCCTGGAGCACGCACACTTGTCTTTGCCCCTGCTGCATCATCTAAGGTTGTTGATGTCCCCTGAAAATAAGGTGGAAATGAAACATTAGAGCAAAGACGCAATTTATCCAAAAAAAAAAAAATATCCATACGCCACCAGCAAGGATTTGCATGTTGATTTGGTACATACGGAAAAGCGGCCTGCATGCGGAGGCCCGATGAGGATTGGATCTCGTCCTCCGTTGTCGATTGGCCCAACTAGTTGGCGTGAGGTCACCAGTCGAGGGGAAGGTGAATGTGGTGGTGGGGAAGGTGGCTGGTCTGGTCACGTCATTGGTGGGGGTGATCATTGCTAAAGGA